TGGCCAGTCTTGGACTCCCAACAAGCCTGATGGAGGGGACGCCATTATTCCATTTAACATAAGAAAGGCAATTCAGGGTCCAGAAATGTGAGCAGCACATGCAGTCAGTGCCTGCCCATGTCCCTGGTATTCCAGGGAGTGACTGCTGACTTCCGGCTGCTGCTGTCTGCCTCTCTGAGCCTCTTTGTCCTGGAACTCCGGGAGTTTGGCACATGCAGCAGGACGGAAGTGCTGGGGAGTTGGCGTCCCCTGCCCAGGAGCCCGCAGTCAGTCACGGTGGTGTGCAAATACCCCAGCCCCCTCGCCCCTGGCATGGTGTAACCTTGAGGTTTTGTTTCAGCACATTAAAAAAAAAATAGCCTTACTTTTATCCATTCTTTAAAATTGAGGAGTAACACACATAAAGCGCCTAATAGGCACCAATTTCAAAGGTATGTGTGTAATCTAAACATTTGTGTGCCCCACGTGACCACCGCTTGGCTCAGGGGTGCACGTTCCAGCTCCCTCCTGTCTCCCTCGCGCCCTTCCGGTCTCCACCTGCCTCTGGGGGTGACCACGGTCCTGGCTTCTGGTTTTAAGACACAAGTTTTTAAACTTTACCAGGAATTTTCCCGGCGGAATTGTTCCAGTCACCTGGGGTGGTGGCTGGGTTAATGACACACCCTTCTCCCTCTCACCCACCCGCCCCTGCGGGCCTGCTGGCTCCGGAGTCCTCTCCCAGACCAACTGCTTGCACCCAAACCTCCGGCCCGGTCTGCTGGCAGGAAACCCAGCTGACACAAGTAACGCGCCCAGGTCACTCAACCAGTGGGTGACGAGGCCGGAATCCCAGACTTGGCCGCCCGGCCCAGAAGGCTGCGCCACCCGGGGGCGAGTCCCAGGGCCCGGCCAGCAGGGGCGGCGTCTTACCGTACTCCAGGCCCTTGGTGGTGATCCTGGCGACCAGGCCAGGGTTGGCAGCCAGAGCCCCTGGGGTGGACATGAGCAGCCACCCCAGCAGGAGGGACGTCAGGACCCCGGCCAAGCCCCGCATTCTGTGTTCCCAGTGGGGTGTGCCCGGACTGTCGCCACGGTGGCTGGGCCCTGCTGCCTTAAGTAGTCACGGCCAAGGGCTGGGGGCGGTCCCCGAGGGAGGGCGGCTGCTGGGAGCGGGAAGAGGAGGCACAGGGACTGGAACCGGCTTGCAACACCATTACGGTCACAGGTCATACTTAGAAGCCCGCTGTCGCTGCCCAGATCAGAGGGTGGCCTGGCCCCAAGTGCAGAACCCTCACTCATCCCCAGAGGGATTGCATCGTCTCAGCCAGTCTCTTAAGAGCTCAGCTAGGGAGGCCTGGTTTTACAGAAGAGGAAACTGAGGCTCAGGGTGATCTCAGCCCCAACAAACGGCAGAGCAGAAAGTAAAGCACGTCTGGTGCCTTCCAAACTCTCTTCTCTACACACGACTCTGTTTATTTTAAAACATAAATGTTTCCCTCCCGTGAAAAAACAGGCTCTTTCAAACCTTCCTGGTGGCAACATTTTCTGGAAGGCAATTCACGAATCTTTACACCGCTGCGTGGCCTGTGACCCGGCGATCCTCCTTCTGGAACTTGCCCCTAAGTACACAGTGAAGTCGCTGAGCAATTAAGTCACTGCACTGAGGTGCCCAGTGCCCATGCATGAACCAGGGAGAAGTGAGATCGAACCTGATGTGTCCGACCCAAGGACGTGGGTTGGATGAATTTTGACACACCCTTTACAGTGACCCTGCAGAGATAAATGTGTTCCTTGCTAAAGATAGGTGCTCATGAGGGACTGGTTTCCAATGGCACCATGTATAAGGCTATATTTGCAGTAAGTAAAGATTATAAAATTTCATTTTGGAAAGCAAAATTTATAGTACAGATTGTGCCTAATTTTTAGAGTTTTGCTTCAGGACTTCCTATATTTGTGAGCTTTGCTCTGCCCTCACCTCCAGGAAGCCTTCCCTGACCACCCCATCTTTCTCTGGATTGAGCACAGGGAACCCCACAGCCCAGGCCTCTCTGCTTCTCTGTGCTGGGCTGTCCCTGTCACTTTAGCTGAGCTTTGTGGGGGTCCTTGTCTGGCCCTCCCCCCCAACCCCACCCTCCCAGCCTGGTTGCTCCTTGAGGGTAGGACTGAGCCTTCCATACCCCGTGGTCCTTGCAGCAGCCTGTGGGAGCTGGGAGGAAGCCCACCTGTTTCTTGAGCACCTACTATGTGCAGGCACCACGCTGGTTAAGCTGCCTGTCTCCTCTCATCCCCACGGCAGCCCCCGAAGGTGAGTGTTTCAGGCTCATCCAGAGATGACGGAACTGAGGCTCAGACAGGTGAACTGATGTGGCCGCAGTCACCCAGCGATCTGAGCACAGGTCTGCGGGACGCCATCCCCAAATGAGGGTCAGGGCAGGCCTCTCCAGGGAGGCTAAGGATGGGACAGAGCCGGCCTTCGGGAGACCTGGGAGCAGGAAAGGGCTTACTGGCGTGTCCCTTGGGACCTCTGCTTCCTGGACCTCAGCCTGCGCAGGTGGGGAGGAGGGGGGACCTTGTGGGGATGTGGATGTGTCGCTCTTCCTCTGGCAGCACTTTGAGGATGTCCCTGCTGGGAGCTGTTTGCAGGGGTGGGAATTTCCCACAGCAGCGACCTTTGCACCCTAGAGCTGCCACGTGGCCCCAGGCCAAGCCTCCGCGCCCACAGGTGCCCACCCCGGCTAAGTTTCCTTTCCGCAGGATGAGCCAGGACCCAGCAGAGGCCTCAGGGAGCAGCGTGACCTCAGCACTGGCCAGAACCCCGGGGCCTTTCTTCCAGCTGGCTGTCTCTCCTCCGCCACCAAAGGGACTGCTGCGGCCAGCGCTCTCTTTTAACGAGATGGTGTTTACCGAGTCCTGACTACAGAACGTTGGTTGAAAGGATTTTGGAAAATCCAGAATTTGTAATCCCCAGCGTCTGGAATGCTGAGCAGCACGTAGCAGACAACTGCCGAAGGAATGAACCCATCTGGTTGATCTTTCTGGACTCTGGGGCCTCTGGACATGAATCCTGACTCCCCCACTGGGTGACCTGGGTCACTCTGTGACTCAGTTTCCTCATCTCTAGTTGGGCTCAGCCAAGGGAGAGCATGGCAGGAGGTCAGGGGTCAGGGCACTTTTCCCTGCTCCCTTCTTCTCTTAGATCACAGGTTGGGTGGTGGCCGTGTCCCCCAGTAGCCCCTGGCCCATGAACCCCCTCCCACTGGGCTTGGACACCCGGACACCTTTCTTTGCTGCTTCACCCCTGGGGATGCTAGTCCCCGATTGACGTCCCAAGCCTGGCCCCAGCTCTACAAACTGCCCCTTCATTCAAGTCCCAGGAAGGATGGGAGTTGGATTCTGGGTCCTCCTGGCCCCTGGCGGACGTGATCAGCAGCTCCGAGCATTTCTTCTGCACTTACCGTCGTCTGTAGCAAATGCCTGTCCCTTGCAGAGAGCTTGGAGTTCTTTTCCAAAGTCTGCACAGGTCTCTGTCAAGGCCCTGATCCTGATGGGCAGTGGACGTGGGGCAAACTCCACCCCTCTCTGTGCCTCACTTTCCCCCAAATGCAGATGAGGGCTGGGGACTAGGACAAGTGCCTCAGAAACTGAGCCTTGTAGGCAAATCCCCAGGGATCTTGTTTAAATGCAAATTCTGATCCATCCGGTTCCTTGGGTGTGGGGTGGGGGCTGAGCCTCTGCCTTTCTAACAGGTTCCAGGGATGCCAGGACGCTGCTGACAGTGGATCCCGCTTCAGGAATGAGGGACTAAATGAGCCCCCAGTGTCCTCCAAGCTCAGCGATTCTGTGACTCTGTTCGCTCTCATTTGCAATAGTTTTCTATGACGGTGCCCACACTCCTGGGGACATTGGCTTTTGTCGAAAGAGAATGATGCTATGAAGACCTGCAGTTCTGAATCTCTGTCGGCTGCTTTGGAGTTGGGGGTTGGATATTCACGGCAGCCCCCTGCCCTAGTCCCAACGCCTGCAGGTCTGTATACACACGCAGGGGCACGAACACACGTGAGTGCACAGGAGCCCTGAGGCCTGTGGATTTATAAGATAAAAATACTAATGTCAGTGACCATCTAGTGTAGTGTCATCTACTTGGGCTGCCAGGAGACCACCTGGAGCTGGGCTGGCCATGTGGCTACACAGCCCCCCTGCTGCCACCAGGAGGAATCTAAGGAACTTGAGGACCTCCCATCTCTCCTTCCACCCCCTCTTTGTCTGTGCATCTAAAATCCCAGCAGTTGCCTCATTTTATTGGGTCTTGATAGCTTTGGGAACCCTAAGGAATTTCTGTTGAAATGAAAATTTCTCAGCCAGAAGAGATTCTTTAATATTTGCCAGAGCTCCCTTTATTGAATCCTCTTCCTGAATTCCAGAGAGCCCTGGCTTTTATAGACGGGGAACCAGAGACCTAGACAGGGAGAAGGACTGGCCGTGGTCACACTCGAGCCTGTTACTGAACTGCAGAGGCTAAGCCCTGACTTTGGGCCAGACACAGTCAGACCTGTCCAGGCAGACAGCCCTGGATCATGTTTTGAGAATCATTGACATAATGGCTTTGGGTCATGCAGACGTGAGTTTAAATTCCAGACCATTTATAAAATAAATATTTATCTAGCACCTACTATGTGGCAGGCATTGGAAACACACCCATGGCAGCCTAGATGTAGTCGTTGCAGTATAGTGAGATGAACTGGGTGTATTAATATTGGAGGTAACTTGGATTACTCCTGTCAACCCTGTACCACCAGTTTCCCATGTACTTGATTCTTGTACCCACTCTATGGGGTAGGGACTATCATGATGTTCCCTTTACAGATGAGAAAATTGAAGACCAGAGAATTAAGTAAATTGCCCAAGATCACATAGCTGGTAAATAGCAGAGCTGAGATTTGAATCTAAAACATCTGGGACTATATAGCTCATGCTCTTACCCACTGTGCCATGAGCCCACCAGTTAAACCCTCTGATTCCTCCCAACAACCTCACAACAAAGAAGACAGCAAAGCTTTATGTCTCCTTTTCGGAGGAGGAAATGGAGGACCAGAGAGGTTAAGTAACATTTGCAATGTCACACAGCTCATGACGGGGCTGGGTGGATGTTTGAAACCAGGGCCAGGTGACTCCAGGGCCCAGGCTCTGAACACCTTGAGCAGGCCACATTACCTCTCTACAGACTCCTCCTCTGGAAAATGAAGGCCACCCTGTCTACGTTTAGAAGTTATCATTAGGATTAAATGGGGCAATAAACCTGAAGAGATTGACCCAGGGCAGGGCCACGCATGGCCACTAGTGAGATCCTGCAAAAACAATGAACGCAGTGGTGAGTCTTTCTGTGCCCGCTACCCCTCTCTCCCATGGGGTACCCCTCCCTCATATTTAATAAATCAGCATTTCCAAGAGGACCTCCAAGAAGGCAATGCTTATCCCAGAAGGGAGGCTGCTCTGATGGTGGGAGTCCAGGCAGTCTGGAGGGGACCATGCTTGTTTTCCTTTAATTTTGTTTACCACTTTGTTGACATATATGTTTCCTACACCGTAACATTCACCCACTTAAAGTGTGCAGTTCAGTGGCTTTTAGTGTATTCACAGAGTTGCGCGACCATCCCAGCAATCTAATTTTAGAACCTTTTCGGCGCCACCAAAGAAACCCCATGGCATTAGCAGTCATTTGAGCAGACGATGCTTAGCCCAAGGGAGAAGCTGCTGGAACGATGCTTCCACAGGCAGCTGGGCGGAACAGCTGGAGTGAGCTGGGAACGCTCCTCAGATCCGGGTCCCCAGACAACTGCCTCCTGTCCGCCTTAGAGAGAGGGTCCCAGGTACCATGTGTTCCTCTCACCGACTTCAGGCCCAAGGAACAAGCGCGCTGTTTCTATGGAGAGCGGAGCAGGGGCTGCCGGTATGTTCGGGAAAGTGGAGGGCAGGTGTAGGCGGGGCCCACTGTCTCCCAAGACAACGATGGGACAGGACGCCAGGGTGGGGCCGGGGGAGGACAGGGCTGTGCATCTCCCAGCTACTCTCCCCACAGCAGCCAGAGGGGTCTTTTAAAATGTGAATTGGATTGTGACATTCCCCTGCTCAAGACTCTCCAATGGCTTCCTTTATCTTTTAGAGCAAAACCCGGAGTCCTTAACCCTTTGCACATGGATGTCGAGTGTGACTCAACACGGCTAGCATCGGTAGCAGCTGGTATGTCGGGCCACCCTCGACACGTAGTTTCACCGCAGGGGGAAGGGGGATTTTTGTCTACTTTTCCAGGATCTTTTCTTGTTTTCATTAGCATGAAAGGACAAGTAAAATGTAAGTGCAGAGATGGTACACTAACTTCCAGGGGCAGATTATTTATTTATTTTATTTTTTTTGAGACAGAGTCTCGCTTTGTTGCCCAGGCTAGAGTGAGTGCCGTGGCGTCAGCCTAGCTCACAGCAACCTCAAACTCCTGGGCTCAGGCAATCCTCCTGCGCTCAGCCTCCCGATAACTGGGACTGACAGGCATGTGCCACCATGCCCGGCTAAATTTTCTATATATATTGTGGCCAATTAATTTCTTTCACTATTTATTTATAGTAGAGACGGGGTCGCTCAGGCTGGTTTTGAACTCCTGACCTCGAGCAATCCGCCCACCTCGCGGCTCCCAGAGTTTAGGATTACAGGGTGAGGCCACCGCCGGCCCGCGGGTAGATTATTATCCACTAACTTAGAGCAACGTTTAGATGGAAAGCGTCCTATAATCCACACTCACCCTAACAAAAAACACAAATGGTGTGTTTTTGTTTAACAGAAAAAATCAAAGGAGGAAGAAGAGAGACGATTTATATTTGCGAAACATGTGAACGTAAACCAGGTCTTCATGTGGGTGAATGTTTCAAAAAATATCACACCATAAAAAATTATAGAGATTAAAAATTACTCTTTGAATGTATCAATAATTTGAAATATAAAAAAATCCAAATAAAGAAGTCTGTATGAAAAGAAACTCCAGTTTTTTATTCTACTGCCATGCTTTGTAAAATCTGGGGTATTTAAAAAATTAAATCCTGGCCCGGCGCGGTGGCTCACGCCTGTAATCCTAGCACCCTGGGAGGCCGAAGCAGGCGGAACGCTCAAGGTCAGGAGTTCGAACCAGGCCTGAGCAAGAGTGAGACCCCGTCTCTACTATAAATAGAAAAAAATTAATTGGCCAACTAATATATATAGAAAAAAATTATCCAGGCATGGTGGTGCATGCCTGTAGTCCCAGCTACTCGGGAGACTGAGGATCGCTTAAGCCCAGGAGTTTGAGGTTGTTGTGAGCTAGGCTGACACCATGACACTCACTCTAGCCTGGGCAGCAAAGCAAGATTCTGTCTCAAAAAAAAAAAAAAAAAAAAATGAAAAAATTAAACCCCGAGTAGAATAAAGGAATTGAGAAAAAAGCAAGTGAGTGCAAAGGGTTAACAGTCTTCTTGGCCTCCCAGCCTCAACCCATGCTGTGCTTCCCTTTGCTCTCTTCCTTCTAGCCTCACTGGCTGTTCTTCTGTTCCTACTCGGGGCCTCCACTAGCCTTTGACAAACAGAAAGATGTGCACCCTCCTGGTGGACAAATCAGAGAAAGATTTCTGTTTCCTCAGCTGAGGGCTTTTTTTTTTTTTTTTATAGTGTACAACCTATGCAACTGAACACAGCAGTCCTGCCTCCAAACACAGAAGATTTGACAATCTGGGAGGAGTGGAAAGAACTTGGGCTCTGATGACAGGTAGGGTTGGAATTCCAGCCCTGCCACTTGCCAGCTGTGTGAGCTGGGGAGAGTAACTCAATCTAAAAGGACTGAACAGTTCCCACCTTGGGGGAAGGAGAGTGCTGTGAGGATTAAATGAGATGATTCATGTGCCGCGCTTGACTCCTGTGAGGGTTTGATCAATGGCCTTCCGTTCCTGTGTGGCCCTGGAGCTTCTACCTCCATTTTTAACAGAGGATCAATGATGTTAGCAGAAGTGTGTGCATTTTTCTTTAAAAAGGAAATAAAATAAATATCTTCTACCTGCCTTTGCTCACTGCAAATACTTCTCTCCATTTTCACCATCAGCAACCTGGCTGAAGTCTGAATAACAACAACAGATTCCTAATCTATGCTCATCCCCTTCCTCTCTTGCCCTTTCTGATGCTTTCAGAAGTCACAGCAAAATATTTTAAAAACTAAAATCTGGGCCTGGTGCGGTGGCTCACGCCTGTAATCCTAGCACTCTGGGAGGCCCAGGTGGGTGGATCTCTTGAGGTCAGGAGTTCGAGCCCAGCCTGAGCAAGAGCGAGACCCCGTCTCTACTATAAATAGAAAGAAATTAATTGGCCAACTAATATATATAGAAAAAATTAGCGGGGCATGGTGGCGCATGCCTGTAGTCCCAGCTACTCGGGAGGCTGACGCAGCAGGATCGCTTGAGCACAGGAGTTTGAGGTTGCTGTGAGCTAGGCTGACGCCACGGCACTCACTCTAGCCTGGGCAACAAAGTGAGACTCTGTCTCAAAAAAAAAAAAAAACCTAAATCTGGCCGTGGCACCCTCCCACTCCACTGTCTGCATCAAACCCTGCAGGTGCATTGTTCTTTAGCCTTCCGGTCTCAGACCAAATGCCAACAGCTTAGAGAGCCCTTCCGGGACTCAATCAATTTGAAGTACAAGGCTATAAAAACCCATCTAATGGCCTGAAGTAGCCCTCCTGCCCCATGTCCCATGGCAGGAAATGGCCCCAAATCCCCGGGAGAACTCACCTTAAGTCCAAAGACAGTCTGGGCTGGTGATCTGGCTTCCACAGGGGGCCAGGACAGTCATGGGGATGAGGGGTAAATGCACCCAAAGACATGACTGAAGCTGAAACCCCAGTGGCCTCTGCACCCAGCCCAATGTTCGCTTTGGGCACAACAGCTGGGAAGAGAGCACGGAATGGACTAAGGGAGCCATCGTCCGGGAGCCCAGGTGTGGGGCAGGAAGACAGGCTGTGCGGGACAGCTGTTCCACAGCGACACCGTGTGGTGGCCACAGGAGCAACAGCCCCAGTGGCTTGCCGGCCGCGCGGCCAGGCAGCACTCTGTACAGAAAGAACCGCTGCACGGTGTGGCAGCCCGCGTTGTATCTATCCTCCAGACTCTGCGTGGCATTGGGAATCTGGACTAAGAAAACCCCAAGGACACTTCGAGCAATGAGACTGTCTGCTAACGGAGGCATGTGGGGACTTCAAGAGATTAATTACAGAAATAAAAAGAAGGGATCGAATCTGTGCTGCAAACCGGTGCTGCAGGCCACACTGCCAACCCATAAATAAACGAAGGAACATGAAACAGGAAACAAGACCAGCACACAGAATCCACAGGGGAAAACAGAGGGTTTTTATGTGTGCGTGTGTGCGTGTGTGCACATGCGTGTGTGAAGCACAAAGGGAAGCATCCTGGTCATAAGGGAAGCACAATTCCTGGAGGAAACGTCCCTGTGGCCTTCGCCCGTGAAACACACGCCGTGGCCTCGGCCAGCGACCGGCTCCCCACGTTCAGCCCGTTTCCGGGTCTGGGTGCAGAGACGTTTGCGAGGGGTTCTTGCTGAGATCGAGAGGGGGGTCCCTGGAGAAAGGCAGCCCGTGCCCTGCGCCCGTCAGGAACAGGAGCGGCGACAGCCCCCAGCACTCGGGGCCACTTCTGCATGGCGGACGTCTGCGCCGAACAGCAGGACACCCTGGGGAGAGACGGGGTGCTGGCGTCAGCTGGGGGCGCGCCCCCTGTTTGTGAGTGTGGGGCTGCCGGGTGTGAAGGAGGAGACTTGGGGAGCCCGCCTGTGGGGAAGGAGACTGCGGCAGGGGGCCCACCTGCTGACACTAGGTCCAGGGCTGGCCTCGGGGCCCTGGGGGTCTGGCCACTGGGCCGCCAACGCCCAGGAACCTGTCAGCAGCGTCCCTGGCAGCGGCTTCCTCCTCGGACGCGGAGACCCCCGGGCTGTTCTGGAGGCTTCGTGTGCCATCCCTGCCTCCTGGCAGCTCGAGGGAGCCCTTGTTCCAATCGAGGCTGCTCTTTGCTCCTTTGTGCCCTTCGCTCAGAATCTCCAGAAAGGAAGAAATTCAATTGTGCCATGGGGTCTTTTTTATTTATTTATTTTTGAAACAGAGTCTCGCTCTGTTGCCCAGGCTGGAGTGAGTGCCGTGGCGTCAGCCTAGCTCACAGCAACCTCAAACTCCTGGGCTCAAGCAATCCTACTGCCTCAGCTTTCCGAGTAGCTGGGACTACAGGCATGCGCCACCATGTTCTCTATATATTAGTTGGCCAATTAATTTCTTTCTATTTATAGTAGAGACGGGGTCTCGCTCTTGCTCAGGCTGGTTTGGAACTCCTGACCTGGAGCGATCCACCCGCCTCGGCCTCCCAGAGCGCTAGGATTACAGGCGTGAGCCACCGCGCCCGGCCGTCTTTTTTTTTTTTTTTTTAATGGATGAACTTGGTAAAATGTGGGGAATATAGACATGTGTTTCCTCTGCTCTCCCAGCTACTTTTCTACAGCCTGTCATCCCCATTCGCTCTGCAGTCTAAAGAACTGGGGATCGACTGAGACATTGACCGCTAAGGGGGAGCGAGGAGTCTGGGTGACGTGGGTGCTTCCCGCGAGGGCCTCAAGTCACCGGCCAAGCCCTTGACCAAGGCAAGGCCTGCAGTGCTGGGGGTGCTTTTGTTGCAGAGCAAACAGCACTGTCGGGACATGCTGGAAACCGAAAGAAGAAAGCCCAGGGCACAGGTTGGTGTGTCACATGCTGACGGACGTCAGGCTGGGCGAGAGCCACCAGGAAGCCTCCTGTGCTGTGTCTACACCTGCCAGACACTGGCCACGTTTCTACTCACAGTGCCTGGCACGATGCGGGGTGCAAAGGGAGGCATGCGACATGTATTTGTTACCTATGTAAATGCGCCCACCTTACGAGAGGCTCGTTGGCCGCCAGATGGGTTCCAGGTTTGCCAGGTGTAGCGTGGGAATGGGGCAGCGCTGGGTCAAAGTCCAGAGCCTGGCTTTGAACCTGGACTTCATTGAATACCGTGTGGCTTCTCTGAGCCTCGGTCAGTCTTCCCTGTTTATTAAGAGCACCCACATCCCAGGGGGGTTGCGAGGGGAGAAGGCACTGGATGCAGGGCTTGGCATAGGGGGAGCGTAGCAGCGGCAGGTCACCACCGTTGTGGGAGATTTGTCTAGAAGAGACGCTGGACACTCACCTGGTGAGAGCGAAGCACCGGGTTGTACAGCTGGAAGTGGGAGGGCACCGGGAGCGGGAAGCCCCTCTGCAGCTTCTCTGTGGCGGAGACCAGGGTGAGGACCAGGAGGGGGGGAAGGCCAGAGAGCCGGGGGGGCAGCCTGCCTGGGCCCGCGCGCCTGCACCGCCCCTCTGTGGTTCCCCATCGGCCCCGAGCCCACTTCCCCGACCCCTGTGGCCCTCCTCCCAAGACTGCCCTCCCTACAGCGCAGCCCTGCCAAGGGACAGCTGCCTGCCACAGTGGGGACAGAGCACAGACACGTAGGGGTCTCTGAGCACCTGTGCGCGAAGCCCCTCGATGTTTAGGACAAAGCCAGAGACGGGCAGTGGCCGGTTCCCCCCGACACCACCACATTCTGACATGGAATTCTACAATGCTAAATTTGAACCTGGCCTCCCAGGGCATTATGAAGCTATGTTTGTCAAGGGAGGAGGACAGATCATATTCTACACAATAATTTGTGGAATTAATTTCTAATTTCTAAACATCCTCGTCACAGGTTATGTGACCTCTTGCTCCTGGCTCTTAAAGGTCAGGGGTAGGCCTGCCTGAAGCTCTCCAGGTTAGCAGGAGACTCCCCAGTCCTTCTCCCAGAGATGGAAAAAGCTCTGGCTTCAGAGCCAGGATCAAGCCCAAGCTCCACCTCTTGCCTGCTGTGTGACCTGAGATAAGTCACTTAACCATTCTGATCTTCCATTTCCTCCATGAAAAGCGGAGATATTAATAAACCTTTGTCTCATGAGGTGACCACCTCCAGCTCTCTCCACTGGGGCGGGGTCTCAGCCACCTCTAGGTGATCAACCCCAGCCTCGTCCCCCACGACTAAAAACCAATCGTTTCCCCAAAGTTCCTTACGGTTAACCCTGGGCAGCACAAGAGTGGGCACGGCGTAGTCCATGATGGCCTGCAGCAGTGCAACCTGAGAGTCAGGAGAACAAGACCAGGTCAGGGCACCTGGGATCCGCCGTCCTGCGTCACCCTCCCTCCCACCCAGTGGGCCCGGCGACCTCACAGCTGGGAAAACTGCCGAGAGCTGGACACGCGAGATGGTGTGAAAACTCTGCAACCCGATGCAGGTCACAGAACTGATTCCCTTTGCTCTAGTGGTCCCAGAGGTCAAGCAGGCTCTAAATTGCAAGGTGCAAGGCCTCATACATTTCTGACAGTGATGAGGAAGGTCGCCAGAGGGCATTAAATGTGAAAATCCTGGTTTAAAGAATGCATCCTCAGGCCGGGCGCGGTGGCTCACGCCTGTAATCCTAGCTCTCTGGGAGGCCGAGGCGGGTGGATCCTTTGAGCTCAGGAGTTCGAAACCAGCCTGAGCAAGAGCGAGACCCCGTCTCTACTATAAATAGAAAGAAATTAATTGGCCAACTAATATGTATAGAAAAAATTAGCCGGGCATGGTGGCACGTGCCTGTAGTCCCAGTTACTTGGGAGGCTGAAGCAAGAAGATTGCTCGAGCCCAGGAGTTTGAAGTTGCTGTGAGCTAGGCTGATGCCATGGCACTCACTCTAGCCCTAAAAAAAAAAAAAAAAAAAAAATTGCATCCTCAGCCAGGTGCAGTGGCTCACTATAATCCCAGCACTTTGGGAGGCTGAGGTGGGAGGGTCATTTGAACCAGGAGTTTGAGACCAGCTTGGGCAACATAGCAAGACCCCATCTCTATAAAATATAATTTAAAAATTAGCTGGGCCTGGTGGTATGTGTCTGTAGTCCTAGCTACTCGGGAGGCCAAGGCAGGAGGATCGCTTGAGCCCAGGAGTTCGAGGTTGCAGTGAGCTATCATCATGCCACTGTGACTCTAGCCTGGGCAACAGAGTGAGACCCTGACTCTAAAAAGAAAACCAAAAGGGTCCTCTCAGACACTGCAGGCTACAGGGAAAATTGAATCAACCCTTTTCAGGGCTATTTGGCAGTGTTCATCAAAAGCTTTAAAAACGTGTGTGCTTTTTGGGCCAGCAAACATGCCTCCAAGGCATTTATCCTAAGGAAATAACATAGGGTGTGGGCAAAAATTTAGATGCAAGGATGCTCACCAAAGTAATAAATTCTACCAAAATAATCACTTAAAAGCAACCCTCATGTCCAACAACAGGGGCATCACTTGGAGGAAATGGTGATACTTTAATACTAAGGAATATTATGCAACTGTTAAGAATGATACTGTAGAAATATAATTATCAACACAGAGATGTTTGTGATATATTTTTGAGTGAGAAAAAGCAGGCTATAGAAATCACATAATTCTGTCTTTTTAATTAAATAGGCATAGCAAAAGGCCAGGAAGAATATACTCCAAATTATTAACCAAGTGATGAAAATCTGTATGGTCTTTATTTTCTTTGTTTTGCAAACCTGTAGGTTCTGACTGCTCTATAGTGCGTATGTTTCGCTTCAACAGTGATAAAAAAAATGTTTAAAAATAGTGTAAAACCCTCAAGTTGATTGCATTAGTGGTGACATCTATAACTTGCCAATATACACGTTTTTGTGTCTGGAGCAATTGCGCTTCCCTCCCTGGGGCCACCATTCCATGGCCTCACCAAATGTACTGCCCTCCTTCCTACGAATCCCGGGAACTTTACGTTTTTATTTTCTGCGGAGGCAGAGCCCGGAGAGCGCCTGGGCACCAGTGAATCCGTGACAACACAATGAGGCTGCGCAGGGCCCTTCCGTTTGGTGTAATCTCACTAGGTGGAAATGGCCGGCTGGACTTCAATCAGATTTGGAGGGGACATTGAGATGGCATGACTTTTGGGACCTTACAAGGTACTGACTTGGTGGGGAACTTGACTAAGGAAATGTTCTCCGGAGCAGTGGGAACTGGGGTTCGACCACAGGCCCAGCGGGAGATTCAGGCCAGCGTAGTAAGACCCTGGACAGAATCAACGCTCCGTGGCTTGTGATGAAAGACGCCAGGGCGGATGCTCTGAACAGTGCCGGCTACTGCTGCCTCCTCCCCTGCAGGGCAGACCTGCTCAACCAGGGGCAGAGGTGCCCAGGCGGTGGGATTGTCCACGTGGGCTGAACTCTGTGTCCGGTCCACCGTCTCTCTCCCTCCTCCCGGCCGAGTCCCGGTCCTCGCCACCTCACGTGGACAACTGCACCCCTCCCCACAGCCCCTGCTGGTCCCTCGCCCACTGCCCCTGCCCCAGCCGGGGGTGGAGGTGTGGATCAGATCACGTGACTCCCTGCAGGGCCAGGGCGCTGGCTGCGCATCGCCCGTGGAACACCATCTGCCCTCTCTACCCTAGCCCGGGGGCCCGGGGCGAGCCAGCCCCTGCCCGCCTCTCGGCCGACCTGGCTTTCTCCAGTCCCCAAACACGCCACACTTGTTCCCACCACAGGGCCTTTGCCCCTGCCGGTCCCTCTGCTGGCTCCTTCTCGTCCTTCAGCCCAAGTATTAACATCACCTCCTTAGAGGGGGCTTCCGTGATCACACCCTCTCAGCCTTAATTCTCCCTGTCACTTTCCACCCCACCCCGGTTTTGCTTTTCATAGCGCTGACTGCGACCTTCATTTCTGTCTCCCCACTGCCACCTAAGGCTCTGAGAGGCGAGCTTCCCTGCCTTGCTCATCGACACGGAACAGTACCTGGCATGTCATAGGTGCTCAATAAAGTAATTAATTTGTCCACGCAGCAAACATTTGTTGGGCAGATTTCTGAACTGGATTGTGCTTGTTTAATCCCGTTTAAACCTCCCCACGCCAACTCAGGTGTGCAAAGTCTGCAGTTGAGAAGGGACGTGACTTGGCCAAGGCCCCGCAGAGAGTAAGCGCCGAGCAGGGATTCCGGTCCAGGTCTCTCTGCCCACTGAGCTCCTCCCACCGTTCATTCCCAACCACATTTTATGCACATGAACCCAAGTAGTGCCACGCCCCCATGACATGTCTCCCCAGATCAGGAGAAGGAAGGGGCCACCAAGGGCCTCAGACTCACCGGGAAGGGGCCGATATTCGAGTGCTTCAGTTCCAGGAGCAGCCTGTGACAAGGGAGGGGAGACTGAGACCACCGATTGCCCGGCCCCAGTGAGAGCACAGCTGCAGGGGAGAAGGCCTAGTCTGGCAGATGCTGCCTGGTTTTCCCGCCCACTGTCCATCCCCCTTCTGCTGGTCACAGCCCCTCGATTTCCCCTTTGGGGAATCCACGCCTTCCCTGCATCCTTAGTGCCACTGACCCCGCACTGGGCCCTGGCAAAGTAACTGCTGCGGGGACGGGCCTGTGGCCCATGCTGGCCCGGTAGGAGTTGCCCCTGGACTTCTCCTAGGAATACAGGGAATGAGGTGCTCTCTCCACTCAAGGAAAATAAGGAAGCTACTGGTGACTCTCTTGCGACTACTTGGTGACAGCCTACTGGAGAATGAAGCCAGCACAAAGGACAACAGAGCCAAGAGTTGGAGAGAGTCTGATTCCTAAGGACATCATTTGAGCACCTGGGTCCACCCTTGCCTGAAACCTATGGACTTTCCAATTACCTGACCCATAAACTATTGCCCCCTTTTGGCCTTTATGGCATTTTAGCAGTGATCTCCGAGAAAGGGGGAAATGGGGCCATTTATTAAACTCCTAGCTTTCACCGTGTTGGGTGCTTTCTCCCACTGAATGCCAGTAACACCCCTAGAGGCGAGGGCCTCTCATTTTACAGATGAGGAAACTGACGCTCAGAGAGGGCAAGCAACTACCCAAGGCCACGCAGCTAACAATTAGCAAAGCAGGATTTCAAACAGGTCTCCTCAAGGCCAAAGCCCTTGTCTGTCCAACACTCCCCACAGAGTGTGAGAACTTGCTCTTGCTCACCCAGTGGCAGTAGCCCCAGGGTGCCTGCTTTGTGGATTGTCGTACCCGACCCCCAGCGCTCCGCATATTTCTCAAATTCTATGTTCCACCGACACCCAGCTGTATCCTCTCCGGCTCCTCCACTGGGGAGGCCCACGGGTGTTTCCAAAAGATGAAATCCACATGTTCCGGGAGCAGTAACGCTTGTCAAAATGACGCCAGGAGCACTGCTCAGCGTGGACCCCCAGAAGCTGCGTCGGGGCTAGGAAGGGCAGCCCGGTGCCGGGGAGAAGGCGGGCACGGGCAGGGGCGCGGTCGAGGCTCCGTGTTAACAGCGTGAACATGGCGAGTGGCGAAGAGGCAGCTGCCAGGTCTGCATGTTGGGGTCGTCACATCTGCACTGAGTGGCTCCTGCTCTCCGTCCCTCCCCCTCCCTCCCTCCGTCTCTCCGCCTCTGTCTTAATGTGTCCCCACCTGTCCGTATATCCTGCTGTCCTCTCCCTGTCTTTCCTCCCTCCCTGTGTGTCCTGTCTCTTTCTCTGTCTCCTTTCTTTTTTTTTTCTTGACAGAGTCTCACTCTGTTGCCCAGGCTAGAGTGAGTGCTGTGGCATCAGCCTAGCTCACAGCAACCTCAAACTCCTGGGCTCAAGCGATCCTCCTGCCTCAGCCTCCTGAGTAACTGGGACTACAGGCATGCGCCACCATGCCCAGCTAATTTTTTCTATATATTTTTGGTTGGCCAATTAATTTCTTTCTATTTTTTTTAGTAGAGATGGGGTCTCGCTCTTGCTCAGGCTGGTTTTGAACTCCTGGCCTCAAGCAATCCGCCCGCCTTGGCCTCCCAGAGTGCTAGGATTACAGGCGTGAGCCACCGCGCCCAGCCTCTGTCTCCTTTCTGTGTCTCTGCCTGTCTCTTTCTCTGTGGCTCTCCCTCCATTTCTGTGTTTCTCTTTCTCTTCCCTCTTGCTTGCTGGGCGTTTACTATACCCCTTCAAGTGTGCTACACACGTCAATGCGTATTAATATCTCATTTAATCTGCACGACGATGCTGTCGGCAAAGTGTGATTACTGGGATTCGACAGCCAGGGAGGCTGGGGTTTGCAGAGTTCCGGCGTCTGCCAAGGCGAGCTGCTCTTCAAATGCAGGCGGTCATGGCAGGGCCCACGCTCCTAACCACTACCTCCACTGCTGGGTTCAAAGCCGGGCCACGTGGATTCCAGAGTCTCCCAGCAGGGGGTGGCTGCTGAGGTCCTTAGGATGGGGTGAGACGTTGAAGCGGGATTTCCGAGCGCCAAGGAAGGCCGGGGGCATGGGCGGCCGGGCGCCGTGTGGCTGGGTGCGGCATGGCTCATCGGTTGGCTCTTCCCGGCCATGGGCCGTCCTGGGACACGGGACCTTTCAGTGCTAAAACTGGGACACTCCCGGGCAAACCGAGAAGATTGGCCGCCCTACAGTGTGTGATCTTGGGCAAGCCGCTTTGCCTCCGAGCGTCGGTTTTGCTGTGTGCAAAATGGGGCTATTGCGCCCATCGCACATGGTTTGAGGCTTAAATGTGCTGGGGCCACAGGAGGGCCAGAGCACGGCATGGTGCTTCCGTACATCGGAAGGCCATTGCTACCCCATGACCACCCAGAGTGGGCGGGCAGGCCCCTCCTCCGTCCCCACAGGCCCCCTTACCTGTCCAACTCGAGCTCTCCGACCAGCCTGCTGGCCATGGCGCCAACCCTCACAGAAGCGTTCGTGCTCTGCAAAGCAATGACCCGGCGTGAGGTGCCCGAGCCAGGGCCTGGGCTCTCAGAGGCCTCCGAGACGAGGAGGGCCAGCTTTGCAAAGGCTCGGGAGGGCAGCCCGCACCACCGATCAGGCCAGCAGAGCCCGAGGACAGGGAGACGTCTCCGAGACGAGGAGGGCCAGCTTCGCAAAGGCTCGGGAGGGCAGCCTGCACCACCGGTCAGGCCAGCAGAGCCCGAGGACCGGGAGACGTCACCGGGCTTTGTGGCTGTCGAGTCCGGGACTGTCAGCCAATTTCCATTTTCTCCCCCTGCGTCTGGGGCCATCTCAGGCCACTGCTGGAAGGGCCTCGTGAGACAGACCTCAGGGCTGGAGCCCAGGCCAGCCCTATTCTCACAACCACTTGTACATCCATTCATTAAAAAAAATACGTATTGAGGCAGAAGACCCAGGGTCCCACCTCGGGGGGCCCCGTGCAGTCTGTGCGACCTTGGGTGACCCCTCAGAAGCCATTCTGTCTGCAAAGCAGAGATGACAGCTTGAGACTGGGCACACCTGCTGAAGGCCTCTCAGTGCCTCCAGGAGGGGAGAGACTCTGGTCCACATCCCCAGTGGCCACAGTAGGTGCCACCAAATGTTTGCAGAGTGACAGAGTGATCAAATGAATGAACACACGAAACAATAGTGAAGACCTGGACAAAGGATTCAACAAATACACAAATGAAGGAATACACAAAGATAGGCATGAATGAATAAATGATGAATGAATGAATGAACAAATATACAATTGAACAAAGGGATAAGTAAAGGAATAATTGAATAAATGGATGCACGTGGAAAAGGTGTAGCCCATTTCAACAAGCTAATGAACGATTGAATGAATCATTAATTGAAAGAATAAGTGAATGAATGAATGAACAAATACACAAATACATAACTGAACGACTAAAGATATAAGTGAATGAATTGGAAACAGTGCACATATTTCAAGCAAACATGGAATAAATAATTGAATGAATGAAAAATCGAGTGAATGAATAATTGAATTCATAACTACACAAATGCACAGATGCGTGGCCAGGTGAGTGAACACCTGCAGGAGCCAGAGCAGTTGAGTTGAGCTGGTCTCAGGTTCTAGAGTCACACTGTCCGGATTTGAACCTGGGCAGGATTTACACCTAGTCTCCTGACTCCAGGGACGGTGCTCTTGGCCCTGCCCAGGGCTCCCCATCTGCCCACACCCAGCAAGAGCTTACCAAGCCAAGCAGGAAGAGGGAAGCCAGGGAGGAGTTGGGGAGGATGGCGAAGGTTTCAGCCTCCAGGTAAGGGGTGAGGACAAGGCCGGAGGACTGCATGGACAGGTGTGGCGGGGTGGAGACTGAGACGTCAAGCTGCATGTTCATGTCCGGGAACATCTGGGCCACCTGCAGCCCCCAGCGGGGAGAAGCAACAGAAAGGGTAGCTTTAATTAAAATATTTCTAAATCCTATCTAGCCCCGCCCTTACTTTAAACGCCTCCAATATCTTCCCATTGTTTTTAGAATAAATCGTAAGACTGCATAGCCTGGCACCTGGTGCTCTGCCAACCTCACCCTACCTGTCTCTACCTCTTGTCCTCAATCTCCGGCGACAGGGAACTCTTTCAAATGCAACAAGATTTCCCGCCATCTAAAACCCTTTGCACTCTCTGTTCCCTCTTGCTGAATGCCTATCCACCCATTCTTCCCTAGCGTGGCTCTTTCCCTTCCTTCAGGCCTCAGCTCAAATGTCACCTCTTCAGAGAGCAGTAGCGGCTTCAAGGGAGAATTAAGGAGGGACCTGGTGACCCTCCCCTATCTCTCCTGGCCCCGATCCTCCCCCAGGTAAACCCCAGTCTGAGTGAAAACACTGTGGCTGCTATGCAAATGCAGCTTCGAGACAGTGCCCCTGGGTGTCTGCGCCAGCCACACCTCCCCCCTCAACCAGTACTTCCTTATGCATAAACGTTTGGGGTGCCCCCACTGGAGAGGCTGAACAGAATGTGTCCCCCCAATTCATGTGCCGAAGTCCTAACCCCCAGTGTGGCTTTATCTGGAGATGTGGCCTCTATGGAAGGAACTGAGGTTAAACGAGGTCGTGAAGATAGGGCCTTGAGCCAACAGAATTAGTGTCCTTTTAAGAAGAGACATGGAGAGCTACCTCCGTCCCCTTCCCCCACGCACACGCTGAGGAAAGGCCATGTAAGGACACAGCCAGAAGGCGGCCGTCTGCAAACCAGGAAGAGAGCCCTCACCGGAAACTGAATCTGCTGGACACCTTGCCCTTGGGCTTAGTTTCTGGAACTATGAGAAATACATTTCTGTTGTTTATGCCACTCCCGGTCTGTGCCGTTTTGCCATGGCAGCCCTAGCGGACTAAGACAGTGGGCTTCCTCGACCATCTTGTCTAAAGTAAACTCATCAACCTGTTGGTTTCACTGATCACAGTCCGCATTATTTTTGTTAATTGTTTTGTGTTCCTTGAATGCTACTCTTCTTTCCACTGGACCGGGAGCTCCAGGAGGGCAGGAATAATGGCCTGTTTTGTTGAGTTTCCAGCACGGGGGCCCAGGCACAAGGTGGGCACTCAATAAATGTTTACTAAGTGGACAAGCCCACATACCCACCGCACACACAGCCAGCTGTGTGCCTGGAGCCCTTCTCTGTACTGGGCTGGGCTGCATGGAGCCATGTCCACTCTCTGACACTGGGCTGGGCTGCATGGAGCCATGTCCACTCTCTGTACTGGGCTGGGCTGCATGGAGCCATGTCCACTCTTTGTACTGGGCTGGACTGCAAGGAGCCATGTCCATGTCCACTCTCTGACACTGGGCTGGGCTGCATGGAGCCATGTCCATGTCTACTCTCTGTACTGAGCTGGGCTGCATGGAGCCATGTCCATGTCCACTCTCTGTACTGGGCTGGGCTGCATGGAGCCGTGTCCACTCTCTGACACCGGGCTGCCTCTGGATCTGGGGCAGGGGTGTCTCATCACCCACTCAGCTGAGCCCGGCGCTCCCCAGAACTGCCAGGCCACCTCCCGAGCTGACTGAAAGAGAGCGAGCCCTTCCTCACCTGGGGTAGGAAGGTTCCAAAGAATCTGGTTGTCAGCCGGAAGGACGATTTTTCTGGAATCTGTAGCAAGAGAAAAGGATTTCAGGGGGTTATGTCGTAGATTGAGAGGAGGGTACAAATTCTGTACAGGGGGTGGGTGAGAGACTGAATACACAAATGGACAGTGGCCGGAACAGATGTGGCCACAGCACGCTGACCCGCAACCTCTGCAGCAGCCAGCCTGGAAGCCAAACCGTGACTTCCGCAGGGATGGCCAGGATATGTGGCCAGTGACTGTTGGCTCCCCTGGTTCTTGCCTCTGAGAAAGGCCAACCTGTCCCCAAACCAATCACACGGGATGTCCCACTTCCAGGTGGCCTGCCTCGGCCGCAGCATGGTGCCAGGACTGGATCACAGAGTCTGACCGACGGCAAGGACACAGTTGATGTCAGCGGTCACGTTTATTTCTCATGACATTCTCACGCTAAACACCGGGCTCAGTGCCTCTCAAGCATTCTCACCTCATTTCCTCTTCGCGACACCCTCTGCTCATGAAGACACCGTTATTGGTGTTTCACGAGGAGGAGACTGAGGTTCTAAGAGGTTGAGTAACTGACCTAAGGTGACCTGGCTGGAAAGGGGTGGGGCTAAAATTTGGACTTCGGTCTGGCCAACTGGGAGTCAACACCTCGGTCTCCCCCATGAACAAAGCTTCCAATGCAGAAGGTCTGCTGGACTCGGAGTCCAGTGCTCGTCCCAACTCACCCACAGTCTGGCCTTACCATGTCATCCGTAAGGGTCAGCTGCAAGGCTCCGGCCTCGTAGTACACGAGCCCCGCCGTGTTGAAGAAGTATTCCGAGAGGCCCAGGTACACCATGCGGTCGTGGATGGCGGGAAACTCCAGCGCTGGCGGGGCAAAGGGAGGCGGCATGGGGTCGGCCCAGCTGAAAAACTCCCCCTGGGGGTGGAGGCAATCGAGTGAGCCCCAGCGGGCTTCAGGAACTGTGATTCAACATCTCTGCCCCAGGGATAAATGGGTTGAGGACATAGATCGATTGTACCACCCCCCAAAAAAAGCAGTGACCAGACACTAACAATAGCATCACACCCTTCCTGGGTGCTAGTTTCTAAGTGCTTTTCATGCCAGCCCTGGGGAACGGGGGTGCAATTGCACTCGTTTTACAGGAATGGACACCGAGGCACAGGGAGGTGAAGTGCCTTGCAAAGGGCACACAGCGGGTTAGTGGCAGGGCCAGGAACTGAACTTGGGCATCCAGAGTCCAGTGAGCACTGGCCTAACCCAACCATTGGCTCAGCCCTCAACCTTGCCAATAAGCAGAGAAATTCTATTAAAAGAATAATGAAATTCTGTTAGTTTGTCTCATCTATCGAGCTAGCAAAATTTGAAAAGCGGTAAATCCTTTTAAGTGTTGTGTGCGTTTTCAACTGAAGCTTTCCAGCTTTTGGTGAGAGTGTTCGTATGCTGCTGGGGTTGTTTATTTTGTTTCTGAAGAGCAATTTGGCAACATGTTGCCAAAGCAGATCATTTACTTAGCTGAAAAAACGTTGAGCGTAAAAAAGCAAACTATAGATGGATACATATGGTAGGATATCACTTGTGTAAAATTTAGAGGCCCATAAAAAGCATAAAAACACAAGCAAGAAGGACATCATCAGTATGGTTTCCTGGGGTGGGGCAGGTCTGGAGTTAGTTCTACAATGTTTCACGTAAAAAGAAATCAGAAGCTAATATGGCAAAGTGGTAACATTTCTTAAATCTGGATGGTAGGTACCTGGAAGTGTGTAACACTGTATATCTTTGAATTCTCCCATCATTTAAAATCAACCAACTTGACATTCATAGTACAGAATGTAATGCAACTCTTAAAAATAATATAGACCTGTGAACTGACCAGGAACCATCTTCAATACCATCTTCCACTTGAGCAAAGCAAGTGGAAGAACAGTGTATATCCATTTGTGCAGATTATCAGCAAAATCTAAATGACTTTTCTTATGCATTTAAGTCATTCTAACACAATCCATGGTTTTCAGCAATCACCCCTGCCCAGGAGGTAAACAGGACCTTCTCTTTCACTGTGGATAATACATTGCATTTTGGTTTAAGCTTTTACTCTGTTGTCTCACTTAGACATACAGGAACAGTTTTCTTCTTCTTTTTTTTTTTTTTTTTCGTTTAGCATGCCATTTGATTCAGCATTTCCACTTCTAGGAAATATTCCAGGATGAGCAGCGATACAATTGCTTGCAGAAAGAAATGGAAAGAGACCAAACGAACATCCCAGAAGGGGGCACTGTCCACACACCTTGTCCCAAGCTGTCCACCGAAACAGCCAACAGCCGGTAAGAGGGTTGCAGGAGGATATTTCATGGAAAAATGTTCACATTACACACTTTTATTTTTAACAATTGTAAAGCAACATGTAGAATATGATGCATGCAAATGTTTGTATGTCTGTGTGTATTTCTATGTCTATATGTGAGTACATATGTTGCATTTATTCCTATTTCTATATTGTGAGTTTTATATTTGTTTCTATGCCTGTATGTGTGTATATTTGTCTCTGTGTCTCTATATGTGAATATGTGTGTGTGTGTGCATGTGTATTTTTCTCTGTCTCAGGATTGGAGGGATGTATCTACCCTATGCATTGACAATGCTTATCTCTGACTTGTAGGACTTGGGTAATTTCTCTCTCTCTTTCTATTCCTTCCTTCCTGTTTAGTTCTCTGCTCCTCTGTAGTTTCTAAATTTTCTTTTCCACACTGAATGTGTTTTGGAACAAACAGTTAACTGCACACACGCAAGCAAATCACCAACTGCAAAGGATCGGCGGAGGCACAAGCGGAATGAGTTCCAGGAGGTGGGACCTCCTCCGGCTGGGGCGGTGGGGACGGCCACTCTGGGAGAGACGACTGCGCAGAGACCCGCGTGGAGTATAGGAAGCCAGCGGGATAGAGGTGGACACCGGGAGGGGAGGGAGTTCCAGGCAGAGGGAACAGCTGGGACAAAGGCCCTGAGGTAGGAACAAGCTTGATGTATATTTGAGGAAGTGCAAGGCCAGTGTGCCTGTTTGGAGGGTAGCGAGTGTGGGAGAGAGTGGCATGAAATCAAACTCCATCCATCTGTCCATCCATCCATCCATCCATCTGTCCATCCATCCATCCATCCATCCATCCATCCATCCATCCATCCATTCACCTACCCATTTATCCATCCATCTACCCATCCATATATCCATCTATCCACCCATCCATCTATCTATCTATCCATCCATCCACCCATCCATCTATCTATCCATCCATCCACCCATCCATCCATCTATTCACTCACCCATCCACCCACCCATCTGCCCACCCATCCATATATCCACCTATCCACCCATCCACCTATCCATCCATCCACCCATCTATCCATCCATTCACTCACCCATCCACCCACCCATCCATATATCCATCTACCCACCATCTACCCATCCATCTATCCACCCATCCACCCATCCATCTATCCATCCATTCACCCACCCATCCATATATCCACCTATCCACCCATCCACCCATCCATCTATCCATCTATCCACCCATCTAACCATCCATTCACCCACCCATCCATATATCCACCTATCCACCCATCCACCCATCCATCTATCCATCTATCCACCCATCTATCCATCCATTCACCCACCCATCCATATATCCACCTATCCACCCATCCATCTATCCATCTATCCACCCATCTATCCATCCATTCACCCACCCATCCATATATCCACCTATCCACCCATCCATCTATTCATTTATCCACCCATCTATCAATCTATTCACCCATCCATCCACCCACACACCCACCTTCCATTCACAAACCTACCCATCTATCCATCCATGCATTCACCCACCTATCTTCCCATCCATCTATCCATCCAGCAAATATTTATTGAGCACCTACTGTGTGCCAAGCATAGTTCTAGGTGCTGCACACACAGCAGTGAACTATGCAGTCACAGCGCCTTCTCTCTGTCATAGTGAGGGAGGCAGGCTTGATGCTTGATGTTCTGTGTGAGCGTTAGTAACGAAGCAGGACGGGGGCAGCGGGGAGGGCTGTTTCAGTGAGCGCGGTCTAGGAAGGCCGCTCTAGGGAGGGGACATTTGAGCAGAGGCTTGAAGGAAGCAGGGCAGAGCTGTGTGGCTCTCCGGGGGAGAGCACCCGGGCAGAGGGAACAGCGAGTGCCGGGGGACAGGCAGGCCGTGTGCCTTGGGAGTGGTGGGGAGGCCAGAGGGCCTGGAGCAGGGAGAGCCGGGGAGAGTGGGGAGGGAGGCGGCGTTGGGGCAGGTAGGAGGGGGCAGGTCATTGTAAGATTGTTTCCAAGGACCATGGGGAGCCCTGGGAGGGTGTGAGGCAGAGGCTTGCGGTCGTATGGTTCTTGGCGTAAGCCTCACCTTCAGGTGCCCGTCCAGGTACTCAGAGGTGGCTGTTGGAGGTGCCACCAGACGATAGTCGATCCCAGCCACAGCATCTATTTTGGCCATCACTAGAGAGAAAGGACATGGACCATGAGCTGGTTCCCATGGCAGCACCCCTGGGACCTGGGATGCAGGCTCAGCATTCCCTAAAATGGATCGAGAACTTCAGTGCCTCCTCCAGGAAGCCCTCCCTGGCTCTTCTTGTAGGAAAATGAGCCCACACCCCACATTCACAGATAGCACCTTCCTCCTTTCTTCCAGCAGCCCTGAGAGCAGCGGCTAGAACACAGGGTCAAGGGCGGCACAGAGAGACCTGGGTGCGAATCAAACCCTGTATGGCCCTGGACAAGTCCTTGCACCTCCTCCAGACCTCCTTTTGCCATTCGTAGCGTGGGGGTGGCACTAGTGACCTCCACCGAGGCTGGGAGGACACGCGAGGAGGTGAGTTCCCAATGCCCTGCACGCCGGCTCATGGCCAGGGAGGGCCGTTGCTGGCATGATAATATCCCGGGCCGAGCGCGCTGGGCCAGGTCTGGACGTCTGTTTCCTGGCAGTCAGCCGTGAGAGGGACACACACACACGGGCCCTCCCGTGGCGTCCTTCCCACGTTCGAGGGGAGGAAATTGAGGCTCAGAAACCCGAGTGGCCCGAGATGGCGCAGGAGGTGAGCCATGAAGCTGGGGCTCGAGCCAAGATCTTTTCCCTGCCTGGCGAGGCCGGGCCTCGGGTGCGGGCCACGCCCGGACGGGCAGGGGCCGCGAGCCAGCCGTGCGGGGCTCCACGGGGGGCAGCCCTGCTCGCCGCCTGGAGCTCAGGCTCCGAATGAACAAAACCTTAACTCCACACTTGCATCCTGCTCACGCCTCCTGATGGCTTTGTGACCTGGGACGAGTCTCGGCGCCTCCCTGAGCCTCAGTTTCCTCACACGTGAAATGGGGAGAACAACATCTATCTCCGTGGGGTGTGGCGGGGCCGAGGGGACACTGTCCTGAGTGCCTGGCGCATGGCGAGCGCTCAGCCAGAGGACCCTCCCCTGCCTGCGGCAGCTCTTTGCGGTTTACCAAGTGCCTGTGGGAGGGGGGAGATTACTGGCCCCATTTTAAGGATTGTGGAAACTGAGGTCCAAGGAGGAGTGACCAGCATCAGCTCTCAGGCCAGTGATTGTCTCTGGGCCCAGAGAGCTGGGGGCATTCGGCTGTTTGGTCCCTGCAGGGCTGAGGGAATGAGGGGGGTGCGGGCTGCTTTTCTGCCTCACTGTGGCCCTGCCACAGGATGGCCCAGTGTGGCCCTGCCACAGGACCTGGCCCAGTGTGGCCCTACCACAGGACCTGGCCCAGTGCCACCTGCCGCTTGAACATAACCCGCTCTGCCCATTCCCACCCAGGCCCAGGCCTATCTGGGAAATTTGCTGGCTCCATCCCACCCACGCAGCCTCTCTACCCCCCGCCCCCTGCCATCCCCTTCTGTCTTTGATCCCCACCAGCCCTCACCTGGCAGATTCTGGAAAAAAGGCTGCAGCTTAGATGACACAGAATTGGCCACTACTTTGCAGATCTAGGGAGAACCAAACAAGGGATCAGAGAGGGCTTCCCAAAATGGACAATGTCCTTTTGGAATAGTGGTCCAGAAATGCTGTGCTCTCCTTGAATTTTTCTTGAAAATTATGTAGCCAGTCAAGTTTCCCTTTTCTCTTTGGCCACCAGGAAGCTCAGAGTCCAACATACATCTTAGAAATAGTAACTGTATATGATTGCATGACCTACACATCTGTATTCTATTTCCTACCCTGGTGGGGGAACCTTCCTGAAGGGTACTTACGTTTTCTACTTTATAATGTGGGGCTTGGTTGTCTCTTTGTTTTTCTATTTTTACAAAATGTGGTTGTTTTTGCCTCATTTTGTGGAGTGAGGTGGTAAACAGACACATGTGAGGCAGCCAATGGCCAGCCTTCACTTAGCTGTGCTTCTGGGAGCAGGGCAGGCTCTCTGCTGAAGGCGGGGTGCACACCGTCCTCACCTTTGCTGTGTACGGCCAGGGAAGCCATTCCCTGCCCACCTCGTCCCGACCCCTAAACCCCAAGACTCACAGTGGAGCAAGCACAGGTCTGAGAAGACCTGGGTTGGGTCACAAGCTGGCTTTGCCACTGAGGAAGTGACTCCATTGATCTAGGCCTCTATCTCCTCATCTGTAAGATGGAGCACGGCGAATGATACTTTCCACTTGGTCTGTGCGCTCTGCCCTAGGACTGGGCTCGGCGCCTCGCTTTTAACCGGGAGAGCACAGCGGGACAACACCGTGAAACTTCAGAGGCAAGGACGCAAACGGCGGTGCAGCGTGCGCTGTGGTCTCTAGAAACGCTCCTTCTCCGGCCACTCCCGCCGGGAACACGGGGCGCACGTGGTGAGAAGCCCCCACCCCACTGGAGGAGCCACAGTCTCGGCTCAGGTCAGGAGTCCCAGCTGAGCTGAGCCTTCCAGACTTCCGAGCCCAGGCGCCAGGGATGTGAGCGGAGAACCCTCCAGAGGATTCGAACCCTGAGCTTTGGAGCCTGGCGAGAGGAGCCCGGGGCCTGGCGGAGCAGGGAGAAGCCCGGCCGTGCCTGCTAAGCCTGTCTCACGTCCTGCCCCACAGGGCCCACGGGCGTTAAATACGGCGGCTGTTTTGCCACTGCAAAGTTTGGGCTGCCTGTTTCGAAGCGACAGGCGGCTGGAGTGTAGGGTGACAGTCGCAGCCTTCCCTGACCAGGAGCTGGGCCGGGTGGTGCTGGGATAAGCCCCTGCCTCGCCCTCCCCCATGGCCCACGCACGGCCTTCCCCGCTTTAGCCTCCGTCCCTGCCTCCCTCTGCCAGGCAGCCCCGGCGTGGGGCCCGTTCTTCTGGAATGCTCCTTCTAGGGTCCACGACCTCACCCCTCCGCACTCTGCCCCAGCTTTCTCCTCTGCTCCTGCCCGCCCGCCCCTGCGCCCTCCCCGGCCACTCCAGGCACATGTCTGCCCCCACGCAGACGCTGCAGGTGCCACACCCCCGTCCCTGAGGTCCCCCCGCCCAGGTCACGTTCCCCTGCGCACCCCAGCTGCCCCCAGCTGCCCCCAGCCCCAGGACCTTCTCTGCTCTCTGGACCGTGCTCGAAGTGCCGGGGCGCTCGCGTCCCCGCAACAGCCCAGGGGACGACCGCCCGGCGTCCTCGCTGCTCTGGGACAGTTCTGTGAGCCCCAGGTGCCCACAGCAGCAGCACACGCCTTTCCCTGTCCCCTCCCCGCCCAACAAACCGCTCGCACCCAAACCCTGTGTCAGCATCTCCCTGGGGAGCCCACGCCAAGTCACCTCCGCTGCTCCCCACAAGTGGCCGACACCCCGACCTTGCCTGGCAGCCCAGACTTCCCTGAGCTCTGGCCTGGGGGCCCCACTGCCTCCTGGACAGCCGTCCCTGCATGTCCCGCCGCCTCCTGGACAGCCGTCCCCGGGTGTCCCGCTGCCTCCTGGGCAGCCGTCCCCGGGTGTCCCGCAGGTCCCCAAGGCTGCACATCCCCAAACAAAGTCCACAGGTTCTTACTCCTCCTATGGCTGACCAGAGGTCACCTCCTACTCCCTCCCCTCCTTCCCTACTGTCAATCAAGTTCTTTTACCTGGGGATGGAGGGAGGAGGGAGGAAGGAGAAGGGAGGAGGGATGGAGGGAGGAGGGAGGAAGGGACTGGGGTGGGGCAGGCACTGGGCCTGCACCTGAAATGGCTCAGGGAGGAGGGAAGGAAGAGAAAAGGGAAGGAATAAAGGGAGGGAGGAAGAGAATGAGAGAGGGAGGAAAGGAAGGGAGGGCCGGAGGATATGAGGGAGGGAAGGAAAATATCTGTGTCCCTGGAGGTGTTTCTGTCGTTAAGGCTCTGGAAGTCCTGAGACCTGAACCTGTGCCTCTTCTCCAAATGGCCCCAGGCTGAGGGGCGGCACAGCAGGCAGTGGGGCTCCAGCTGGACCCCTGGGCCACCCCCGCGTTGCTGCCCGCTGCTGACCCTCGAGGGCCCACAGACGGCTCCAGACCAGGGCGCATGGCGGCCCAGCTGGAGCCTGGCCGGCTGCCACCCCCTTCCCTCCCCCCACACTTAGTGCAGACTCAGTACCCGCCCCGCACTCTGGACTCCCTGGGGGCGCACTTCCAGCTCGCCCCTTCTCTGTTTCCAGCCACTCCTGACACTTCATTCATTCATTCATTCAAGCCAGTACTCTCTTCTAAACAAGATATTGTGATTAATAACCTCACCTCTGAGGTGGGGTAGCCTGGATTTGAATCCCAGCACTATCACTTCCTCTTTCTGTGTCTCAGTTTACTCATCCGTGAAATGGGCATAATCATGACGTCTCCATCATATGGGGATTAAAGGCTAGAATCCACAGACAGAGCCATTCGCACATCGCCGGGCTCACGGTCGGCCCTCAGCAGACGTGGCCACCACCACCATCACCCTCACCATCATCACCGCCACCATGCTCTTCACCGTCAGCGGCAGCAGCAGCACCATTACTTTCTAGCTTGGCTGCTACAGAGGGGCCCCTTCTGGGGGGCTAAGAAATGATCGTTTCAATTGTTCCAAATGTGAAATAGATCTCAAGCCCGCCTCGCGCTGTGACTCGGCTATACGGACGGCTGCTGTGGGTGGGCGCACTGTCTGCATCATTCCCTGAATCCTTACAGCACCTCGGAGGAGAAGGTTTTCACGTCCCCATTTGACAGATGGTGAAACTGAGGTTCAGAAAGGTGGAGTCATTTGCTCAAGGTCACACAGCTAGTTAAGCCCCGAGGCCAGGACCAAAAGCGAGGGATTCTGACCCTAACACCCATTCTATAATCTTAACAACCATGCACTGATTTTCTGTGTTTAAACTTTTGATACCATAGCTTCAGAGAGCTGATCTCACTTGGCCGACATCTCCCTACAGCATTTTCAGCGTCTGGCCAGGAGAGCGACGCCTCCGGCTAGAAGACTGCGCACACCTCCCCGTCTCCCTGCCGCCTCTCGCGGCCCCTCCGGTCCTCCCCACGGCGGTCAGCGGCATCGCTCTAAAGCGCAGACCTGGCCAGGTCAGCCGCTTGCCTAAAACCTTCAGTGGCTCCCCATCGCCTCCTGGAGAAAGCCCAAGTTCATTTGCCCTTTGAGCTAGGTGATCCTTGGAAACGGATGGTTGACTATTGGAAAATTGGCTAAATGCATGGGCTCTTCTCTCAGCTGGAGAAGCTAGCTTGGGGACTTCAGGGTGTGGGCAGGGTCGGGGGGCATTGGCTCCCGCCTCTCTCCTGTACCGGTTCCGGGCTCAAGGAGCAGGCCAGGACCGGGGTTTGGCCCGCGTCCAGGCCTGCGGCTGCATTTGTTCTGGGCAGAGAGCATTCGGAGGGGCGGGGGGCGGGTGGAGGAAGGAGCCAGCAGGGCTCCCAGGCCGGCAGAGCTGTGGGAGGACAGGGGTGCAGGGACAGTGGCCCCTCCTCGGCAGGGAGGGAGGCCAGGGGAGGGCAGAGGGGGTCCCAGCAGAGCAGGCAGGGGTGAGAGTTTGCTGGCGGGGTCAGGAGTGACTCTTTCTGGGTCTCTAGTGGGCTCCTCAGTTAAGCAGACACGACTGGCTTTTTGAGCTGGAGCTGCGGTTGCAAAGGGCCGTGGGGACGGCGGAGTGCCCGGGCCAGCGCGGAAGTGCCCGCGAGGGAGGAGACCCCGCCCTCCTACCTTGTCCTGAATGTTGTTTCTGATGGAAGATTCAATCTGTTTGCGGAAGAGTCGGATCAGCCACCTGGAGGTTGACATGCGGGGACATACGTGAGGCTTTCCAGATGTCCCTGGGCCGGATTCAGGAATGGGCCCCGTCTGGGAAGCTGTCCTCCCTCCTCTAAACAGGCCCTGGCACCCTCAGCCCAGGGCTGCGACTGCACAGCCCCCATTAAACACGCCTCCCCATGCTTTAGTGACCTGCTCGTAAGGTTACCTCCTTAACGGCAGCTCGGCTGGGCCCCTGCCTGGGTCTCAGCCTCATTCCTCACCACCCTCTGCTTAAAACACCCCCTGTCCCCAACATCGACCTCATTAACTCCTACTTACTCTTTTCATCCCAATTCAAATGGCATTTCATCCAGGAAGACCTGGCTTGCCCCTAGGCAGGGCCGGATCCTCCTGTTCTATGCAGTCATAGCGCCTTGTTCCTCCTTTCCTCGGGTCTTATCTCCTTTTGTAATTCTGTATTATTTTTTTTTATTTTTTTGGAGACCTGAGTCTTGCTCTGTCACTAGAGTGCCGTGGCGTCAGCCTCGCTCACAGCAACCTCAAACTCCTGGGCTCAGGCGATCCTCCTGCCTCAGACTCCCAGAGTGTTAGGATGACAGGTGTGAGCCGCCACGCCCGGCCTCCTTTTGTAATTCTGGGCGAGCTGTTCATTAGTTCAGTGACTTGGTTCCTGGTTGTCTTCCCCAGTGGGCTGGAAACTTTAAGAGGACAGGGCTGCGCTGCTGGGACTGGGGTGGGCTTGGGCTCACTAGTCGCTCACTATGAACGCTTAGGTGAGCTCCTCTCCTCTCTGTGCCTCGGTTTCCTGCCCCTACAATGGCGCGCTCCCGGACTAGTCTCATAGAGTCGTTGTGTGCTTGAAGGAGCTGTGCCCGTGCTCAAAACAGCGCCCGGCACGTGGCAAGCCTGGGACCCGTGCCAGCTGTGACTCAGTGTGTCACCGCACGCCGCACAAGCCCGCGCAGAGCTGACGCTCCGTGGAGAAGTGTCGGGTGGATGGATAAATGACGCCTACAGATTTGTGCCGAGGACAGAATTTAGCGGGTCTAGACAGTGCTTAGCACGAGCCTGGGGCGTAGAGATGCCCAGCGAAATCTGCCGAATGAACACTGAATGCACGAATTACACCTGGAGACAGGGACAGTGTCTGCTCCATCTGTGGCCCCCCGAGTGCAGGGCTGACTAGGCCAGCTCCCCGCTCGGTCCCCTCCCGACCACGGCCCGGGAGCACCTACCCCAGCCTGCTGCCCGCGATGTGCACGCCCACGCTGCTGATGTGGCTGCTGCAGCCCGAGCAGGTCACCGTGGCCTTGCCCGAGGCGGGGTCGCTGCCCACCCGCACGCCGGCCGAGATGGAAACGCCCTCCACCGTCAGGTCAAAGTTGCCGCTGGTTTTGCTGAAGGAACACAATGACACGGAGCAAGCCCTGTCTTCCCCACGGCCATCCCCACTGACATGCCAACGGCCCGCCCGCGCCGGGAGGTGGGTTTCACTTTTACCTCCCCGCCAGGGCGAGGCCGTAGGGTGCAGACAGAGGAGGCGGCTTGCCCAAGGTCACACAGCAGCCGAGTGGCACAGTCGGGCTTCCGACCCTGCAGTCCGAGCCCCCTCTGCCTGGCAGAGCCCTGCTCTTACCCACTGCCTCGGGCCCTGCCCTTGCTGTGTGGCTTTGGGCATGTTTCTGACCCTCTCTGAGTTTCCGTTTCTTCACCTAGACTCTGAATCGCCGGTTGGACCCAGAGTGTGCATCTCAGCTTTGCTACAAAAAGCCTGGCTGTTTGAAGCCAATGGCTTTAATTAATTAATGCACCCCTTAATAAATGAGTGAGGTTAATAACTCCTCCCGCGGGGATGCAATGCATTTTGGGTAAGACGGTACACATGAATGTGATTTGTCAGCTCTTCCATAATGCGATGAAGTCTTGTGTGTGTGTGTGATCGATAAGTGAAATGGTAGATATAAAAGAGCTCGGGTAGAGGATTAAGCAGTTCCCATTGTGGGGAGCGGACAAAGCCAGCAGCCCTTGTCAGGGAGGGCAGAAGCGTAACTCTCTTCACGCCAGGTGGCTGCTCCTCCCTTTTCTCCCTAGATTCCCCGTAAGGGAGACTTTCCTAAAGAGATTAGTCAACTGAGCCGCTATTACTATTCGGCAAGGTCCCTGCGTTTAGATTCGGGGTTGTGTAACAGTTTGGATGGTTCGCCCCAATCTTCACCCCTCCCCGCACTCGTACCCTTCCCATCGCCTATGGGGGGCGGGGTGCGTTTCCTTGCCCTTGACTTTGCCCTTGAGTATGTGACATGATTTGGCCGAGTTCGGGGCCCAGGCCTTCAGAGAACCTGCGTGCTCCTGCCGTCCCGTTTTGCACCTCTGCTACCGCCAGCGCCACGCTCTGGGCAGCACGCTGGCCCAGGGAGGAGGAGGAGGAGACAGGTGTGCAGCCGAGCCTCCCTGCTGAGCACAACCTGGAACGGCTGAAGCCCGGCTGACACTCAGGTCCGTAAGTGATCATTAGTGATCATACGTGCTTGTTGTTTGAAGCCATGGAGTCCGGGATGGCTCGTTAGACAGCAATAGCTGACTGATAAAAAGAATGCATGAAAGGTCCCCGGCTAGCTTTCCACCCTAAGCCACGCGGCCTTGCTGGTGTCCTGCATCACGATGAGGACAAATGCACAGCTCTCAACCAAGGGTTATGACGAACCTTCTTACGTGAAAAACTCCCCCAGGAGCCCCGTGGTGACACGTGGTGACAGGTAAGGCAAAAGCTGGGCATTTCTGAGACGCTGGCTCTAATCCCTCCCAGGTATGGGCAAGAGGACACCCAACACCCCCCAAGCATGGGAACGTACATAAAGCTCTTTTGTGCCTTCCACTTTCCGCTTATCTTGACGCTGGCATTGCCGATGAAGAGTTTAAGGCCCACGTCGGGCACCAGGATGACCTGGCGACTGGGAAGCTGGAACCCACGGACGTTCATGCTGCAAAGGAGAAACGTTCAGTCAGCCTCCAGGCGCCCACAGGAGGGCTCGGCCCCCCACCCGGCCCAGGCCCGCACCCATATGTTCTAGGAGCCCAAAGCTGTAACGGCTGCCTTGGCAAACACATGAGCCCCGCCGCCGGCGTGGCTTGGGCCTTGAAGTCAGACAAATCTGCATTTGAATCCCGTTTCTCAATATGCTACTGTGTTACCTGGGGCATATCATTCAATTACCCTGATCCTCAGTATCCTCATCTATAAAATGGGCACAATAATCTCTATCTTGCAGGGTATGTGATGATCTATGAAGGTAGCAAAGGTTATCTCCTTGACTATAAACTCTGCATAGGAGTGGGGTGTGTCTGTCCTTTTTCAATTGTAGCTTCAGAGCCTGCTGCGTCAGACGCACAGAACGTGCTCAAAATATCTGTTGAATGAACGGGCGTAAAAAATTCCGTAGAAGACATTTATGGGCTTTCTGCCCAGCACTCACACCTCCTTATGGTGATAACGGAACCGCTATTTTATTTTTGGGGAGCCTCTCCCCACATCTGTTCCATGCCACTCCAAAGAAATTTGACTTCCCCCCTATCTTCAGGGGGTGGAGCCTGTGACTTAGGCTGAGCCGCTAACGTGGTCTATTCCCCCGGCCACGGCCATGGCCACGGCCACAGCTCAGGAGCATGTACGCAACCCAAGATGGGCCAGTCACGGTGAATCTTAGGGCTTTCGCTGGAGTTGCCAGGAGAAGGTGCTGCCCTTCCCCAGAGGGAGAGTGCTGGCATCGGGGCCGGTGGCCCTCGTACCTCTGGAGGGGACACTTTGCCTGAGAATTAGGCCTGTCCAACAAGGCGACACTGAGAGGTGGCAAGAGAGAAACAGGGCCCAATGACATCTGAGCCTGCCTCAAGCTGAACCCGAAGTCAGAGGGCTCCGGGGCTTTGGGTCACGTGGGCCAATGCACTCTGGCTTTAGGCCATTTAGGATCCGGGTTTTCTGTCCTTGAAACCCCCCAAATTCTAACTGATACATGGGCCTGGCATAGAGTTTTGGGGTTCGTGACATATCGCCTGGGAGTCATGGTGGGTGCCAGAAAGACAGTTTTTGTGGCTTCCTCCATGCGCAGCGTGGGGGCTTGGATGCCCTTGGGATGGCGTAGACAGCGACTTTGGGACCCTAAACTGCGAGTTAAGGAGTGTGTGGCTCTGCACGCCAGGTCCTGGTGGCCCCAGGACACTGCAAGTCCTGCATGCTGGGGGCTGAGCTCTCACAGGCCTTACCTGTAGAAGCTATAATTCCCTTTGCCCAAAACCTTGATTTTAAACTTTCTTGAGTAATTTGGAATCTTGATCTTCTCCAAGTCCTTCTGCAGCACGGCCGTCCCCTCTTGGCAGGCTGCGGGGAGAGCACAGGGGGTGACCATCAGAGACACGGCCGGGGACGTACAGCTGTGGACGCGCGGCCCCTGTCCATGGCACAGACAGCGGGACTGGACGGGTCCAAGACAGGGGGCAGTTGAGGCTTCCTATGAAAGACCCAGAGCTCTGCGGGTCATACTGCCTTTGGCACTGCACGAAAGCAGCCACAGACAACATGTAAGCAAGTGAACGTGCCCATGTTCCAATGATACGTGGTTTATGGACACCGGAATTTGAATGTCATATAATTTTTCACATGTGCAATATTCTTCTTCCTTTGATTCTGTTCAATCATTTCAAGGCACAAAATTAAAGACTAAAAATCATCCCTGCATGCGTCCTGCAAGTATTTATTGAACACTCACTTTGTTGCTTGCTCTGTGCTACGTCCCCACAGACGCCTCACCTTTCTGGGTTTGGGACTCTCACCACAGGACCTTTGCATATGCTATTTTCTGCTGCCTGGGAAACTCTTCCTTCCCACATTCACCTGGTCAACTTCCGGTTGGCTAGATCGCCACTTCTTCCAGGACCCTTCCCTGACCCAGCAGACTAGAGCAGGCCCCCTTGCTATCATTCTCGAGGTGTTGTGGGAGCCCCCTTTGGGGCCCGCATCACCATTTGTCACAGTACACATCTACTCACGTGACTCCGGTGACCGACCGTCTCCCTCCCCTGCTAGGTGGAAGCCCCCACCCCCCCCCAAGGTCAGCAGCAATGTCACTTTTATTTACTGCTGCGTCCCCCACAGTTACCGTAGTTCCTGGCGCTTAGAAGGCATTCGATATTTGTTGGATAAATAAATAAATGAATGTCCCAGCGGCAGGAATTCTGCCATCAGTTGTGATGTGGCTAACAGTGTTAGAGAACCCATTAAAAGTCAAAGACGTTCCTTGAGAAGGAATCAGTAGTAAGATGACAGAGCCCAGGCTTTGTGTTTTCCAAGAGCCAGTTAGGAAATAGCAATCATAATCACATTTTCAAGGTCTCAATCTGTGCCAGGCGTGGTTCTATGCTGCGCACATGTATTTGTTGTTGAATCGGAACAACCCTAGGAAATAGGCCCTGTCACTCCCCCCATTTCACAGATGAGGAAGCTGAGGCTCAGAAAGGCGAGGTGCCCTGCTCAGGGCCACATAGCTGACAAGTGACAGAGGTGGGCTTTGAACCCAGGCCTTCTGGTCCCAGAGCCCATGCCCTAGGGAAGGCCTTCTAGGGGTTTGTGGTCACTGCTTGGCAGGGGAGGAAAACATGGGTGGCCAGGATCTCTAAGTCGGCAGGGCCAGGCCTTGAAGGGTCTCAAATGCCATGCCAAGGGTCGGGGCAGCTTCTGAAGGCACTAGGGAGCCATTGATAGTGTGCATGGGGGTGTTGCAGGGGGGCAAACAGATTTGCTGCATTTCAGAAAACCCACTCTGATTGCCACATGCGGCACAAGTAAAAGGGGAAACTGAGGCTGCTATGACAGAGCATGAAGAATTCTGGGCTTAAGGCCTTGGTTGAGCCTCTGCTCCCAGGAAGTCTTCAGGGCCACCACAGCTCTGCGTTTGGGGCAGGGACATACTCATTTCTCCTAGCTCACGTGGGGCCTCTGTCTGCACTACAGGATTCAGAGATGCCCTGCCTGGGCTGGGCAAGAATTCAGGGGTGGAATCCCAGGTCCCCCTGAGCCTTGTCCTGTTCCCCAGGGGTACACCAGCCGCGCACTAGCTGGTGAGGACCCATCTTCCCCTTGATTTGTTTCTCTGGGGCTGGGCATCACCCACTGTCCTGCAGGTCATCTCTCTGCCACCGGGAGGCAGCATCGAGCAGCCCCGTGTTGGGCGTGGGTCAAGACCAGAGCTCAACTCCAGCCTGCCCTGGGGACAGCAGCAGTGCAGCCCTGCCAGGGTTGCAGAGAGGACAAACGAGATCACGTGTGCAAAGCTCCTAGCGCAGCGCCTGGCGCAGGTCAGAGCAGGTGAGCAGGGGCTGCTCTGTGCCACTCTGTCCTCTGGGCCTGGATGAGTGGCCTGGGGGACCCTCTCTGGATCACCCAGTAGAGAGAGTACTGCGCACAGTACGGCGCAGCCCCTGCACTGGGGAGAGCACGCAGGAGTGCCCTCCCCACTCCCCCGCCCCTGCTCAGCCTCCTCAGCATCTAGAGGCAAGTGGCAAGGTTGAGAACCCACCTTGGAGAGAGAAGGGCCTAGAAGCCCGAGGTGGGCATTGGGTAGAGGGAAGGAGGGGGCCATGAGGACCCTCAGGGGCCTGAGCACTGGACTTGGAGTCCTCTAGACCCGCACTCTGCCACTTCCCAGCCCTGTGATCTTCGGCAACTCACTTGCTTCCCTGTAAAACAGGGGTAATGGGACCTATTTTGCAGAGCAGCGAGTATGCCGGGTACTGAATCTAAAGGGCTGCACACAGTAGGTGCTCAATAAGTGCTCTTTGGGGACGGGAAGGGAGGGAAGGAAGGCATCCAGTTACCATAGTCCAGGCCCTTCTGGGAGATCCTGGCCACGGCACCAGGGTTGATGGCTGCTGTCATGGCCGTGCCCACGGCGGCGAGCACTGCCAGGAGTGCCCATCTCGGCGCGTTGTCAGGGCCCCTGGCCATGGCCTCCCTCCTCCTCCAGAGCAGCCAAAACCTCAAGGCCTTGGAGGGGAACCAGGGACCTATAAAGGAGCCAGCTGGGGAAATGCAAGTCAGTACAATGTGGAAAGCAGGAAGGAACCTGGGTGGGGGCGGGAGCGGGGGAGGGCGGCTGCGGTTCTCCATCATGGCTGGGGCCCCGAAGCAGCCAGAAGTGGAGCCTGGAAGCCTCACGTGTGTGCATGCATGCATGTAAGTGCATGTGCACGCGTGTGTGCACGTGTGTGTGTTGGTCCCCTCCCTAAGCACCCCCATATCTAAGCCCCCACCAAAATGCCCCCATCTAAGAACTTTCTTGAAGCTGGGTGGTAGGTTCCTGAGGGTGCATACTTTTCTACTTTTGATTTCTTTGGTTTTTCCACAGTAAAACATTTAGGAAAACAGAACCTTTAGCATTTTCTTGTCCTGAGAGGATGTAGTGGTTAATGACTGAAATGCTCAAATTTTGGAGTCTGGTATCTGGACTGCATCTTCAAATCTTAGCTCTGCCACTCTCTAGTGGTCTGACCTTAGGCAACCCCTTAATCTCTCTCAACCTCAGTTTCCTCTTCTGCAGAGTGGGGAAAAGAAGAGTACTTTCCCTCCCTGGGGGGTTGTGAAGACAAAGTGAGCTTTAAACCCTACAAAGCATTTAGTGCAAGGACGCTGCATCACATGCAGCTATTAATATTACACCGATTTCAAAAGTAATCCATGTTCATTGGCCAAAATGTGAGAAAGAAAAAAGAGAACAAAAACTATATATGCAATTCCCTCTTCCAGAGACAAGCCGATGTGTATTTTAGAGTGTTTCTCTCCCTCTCTCTCTTTTGTTGGTAAGAGGAGTTAGTCCGAGTTTGTTTCTCTTTAACAAACAAATATGGGATCACACTGGTCAGTTTTGTAAAGTTCCCTTTTTTCAATAAATAATACATAGTGACGTTCTCTCCCAGTATCGAATATTTCGTAGCTTCCGCATCCCACGGTTTTCTTAACTGAGATTCTGTTTTTACACCTTTCACCCCTTCCTTTGACAGGTGTAGAACCCGAGGCCTTGCAGGGTGTGTGCTCTTCCCAGTCACCCAGCTAGCGACTTGCTAGCAGAGCCAGGATCACAACTGCCCACCAGGCCATCCCACACCGGGCTCCAGTCGGTCCCAAACCCCACCCCCGTTTTCCAGACCGCTCCCTGTCTGCTCAGCCTCTGTCCCTCCCTCTGCAGCAGCCTCATGCCCAGGGCGGGCGGGAACCCCACCGGCAGCCTGCTGGTCGCCATGGTGATGAGAGGAAGGGCGGCGCTGCAGAGGGGGCAGCGGGCTCCTCTCCCGCTGGGTCCCCATCAGCCCCCTGGAGCCTTGTCTCTCAGACTCTGATTTTATGAAAGTCTAATGAAGCCCTCCGAGCCTGGGGGACATGGGCCCTTCTGAGGGGTTTTTTTCTTTGTCTTTTCACTTGGTTCTGAAAGGGTCTCCCTTTCTGCTCCCAACTGGAATCCTTCTGGCTTGCTTAAGAATGAAAACAGTATACAGAGCTCCTACTACGTGCCAGATGCATTACATGCGTTATTTCCGTGCCTAAGCACAAGAGGGAGGGATGGTTCTTCCCTGTTTTGGAGATGAGCAAACTAAGTCACAGAGCAATCACCGTCACTGTCATGGTCATTGTGTCTTTTGTGGAGAGAAGACTTTTCCCATACCTGGGCAGTTGCCAGGAAGTCTTGTCACCCCAGACCATCATCCTAGCTCTACCTTCCCTTCAGCAGCCAGCACCCCCAGATGTAGAGGACTGACATATATTTTCCTAGTTTAAGAATTAAATTTGGTAATGTACGTGCTCTGCCCAGAGCATTTAAAAGTTAATATGTTCCGGACAAGGCCCCTGTTGCCTTGAGGCATAACTAAAACAAGGTGTTGCCTAGAGGCCTAACAAAGGACCTGAGTTGCAGGTAAGCAAGAGCTACCCCGCCCCACGGCACTGGGGGTCTGGAGGCCACACGATAAACACATTGTTCCTGTGATTGCTGCGTACACCCCATGAGATGGCTGGTTAGTCAATGACGGGTAAGACCCCTCAAGAGAGGGGTGACCTAAGCCAGGCACAACCACCAGGATTCAGCCGAAGATCTTAGGGGATCACCTTAAGAAAATGTGGGGGCCGGGCGCTGTGGCTCACGCCTGTAATCCTAGCTCTTGGGAGGCCGAGGTGGGCGGATTGCTCAAGGTCAGGAGTTCAAAACCAGCCTGAGCAAGAGCGAGACCCCATCTCTACTATAAATAAGAAGATTAATTGGCCAACTGATGTATTTATAAAAAAATTAGCTGGACATGATGGCGCAATGCCTGTAGCCAGCTACTTGGGAGGCTGAGGCAGAAGGATCACTTGGCCCAGAGTTTTGAGGTTGCTGTGAGCTAGGCTGACGCCGCGCGCACTCACTCTAGCCTGGACAACAAAGCGAGACTCTGTCTCAAAAAAAAAAGAAAAAAAAAGAAAATGTGGGGATGAGAAATGCCCCCTGTGACTTGCCTTGCCCATCTTGCAAATCTCAGTCCGTGATCTATGCTAGTGCCTACAGCAACACCTGGAAACCTTGAGCCAGGGGATATCTGCTTCCCTAAGGCTACGTGTTCCGGAATTTATGGCCATTGCTGCAATGCCTGGGTGGTTATGTCAGGAACTACTTTAATTTTTTAAGTATAAAATAAACTGACCCGGTGTAATTATTACTCGAGTCAACCATTTAATACTGGTGTCCACATTTTCTTTGTTCTGCATTGTGTTCTGGTTCATCCTCCGTCCTGTAAGGGCCACGACACCCAGACTCAGATGGCCGCATCTGTACACCGGAGTACTCTAAGTAGCAGCACCAATGCAGATTGATGACTTTCTTGTAAAATTAGATTTTTGAGAATTTCTTGCACAATTTTTGAAACACCTCCAGCTTCTAACTCGTCCAGAGTTCCTGAGTCTCCTAGGCCCAGGCATATGTCACCGTCTGTGAGGGTGTCAGTTAGGAAAGGAGCATTAGATGAATCACATGACAATGATTACATTGCTGTAAACCTGGATCTCAAACCAGCTGGTGAATTTTCGAACAGCATATCTCCTTTCCGTTGAGTGCTCTTGGCCAAGCAATATCTATATGAGCCCACTGGTGACTCTAGCCTCCTTTTCAGCACTGCCGCTGGCCATGGAAGTGCCACACTGCTTCAGATCTGACCTCTACCTGTATTGGTGACAGTGTCTCCAGCCAGTGTCAGAACCCCAACTAATATTCACTCAACAATAACAAATTTACAGCTCAGAGAGAAGTCCAGAGGGAGACGGTTTGAGATTCTGGTAGATTCAGTGGCTAACAGAATCTACAGGATAATCTTTTCATCTCTCTGCCCTGCATCCCAGTGTCTCAGATGTCCCTCACACTGATCTTCTGTTGGTCACAATGGTTGTACAAGCCCAGCTATTACTCAAACAGGCTAATTCTATGTAAATCCTAATCTTCTCCATTTCTACTGCATCCCATATATATAAGTAAAATATTTATATCCCCACTAAAAACAAAGATAATATAATAAAACTAACATTATTATTAATTTGATTTCATATCAATTTTCTTTTCTCTTTCTTTCTTTCTTCTTCTTTCTTTCTTCAATCTTTCTTCTTTCTTGTCTTTCTTTCTTTCTTTCTTTCTTTCTTTCTTTCTTTCTTTCTTTCTTTTTTGATACAGAGTCTCACTCTGATGCCACAGCACTCTAGCCTGAGCTAGAGTGCTGTGGCATCAGCCTAGCTCACAGCAACCTCAAACTCCTGGGCCCAAGCAATCCTCCTGCCTCAGTCTCCCGAGTAAAGCTCGGACTACAGACATGTGCCACCATGCCCGGCTAATTTTTTCTATGTATATTTTTAGTTGGCCAATTAATTTGTTTCTATTTTTAGTAGAGATGGGGGTCTCACTCTTGCTCAGGCTGGTCTAGAACTCCTGAGCTCAACGATCCGCCCGCCTCGGCCTCCCAGAGTGCTAGGATTACAGGCGTGAGCCACCGCGCCCGGCCTGTTTCATGTAACTTCTTTGAGTTCTATGAATTATGCTACATGGATAGATATATGTAATCGTGATCAGGATATAGAAGACCACAATAAGACTATATAAAACTTCTATCATCCCCGAAACTCCCCTGCCATCCCAATTCCGCATGGCTTAAATCACAAGGAAAATATGTTAACTCAGTATGAATTCACAGGTGGAGTGGACAAGACATGGTTAATTCAGGGGCTGGTTCTGTCCATTTCCATGCTCTTCTATCCTTAGGCTGTTGACTTTTTTCCAGAAGAAAGTTGGTTGGGTTTAGAGCCAGGCAGACCTGCGTTTAGGAGCCTAGCCACGCTACCTCCTCTGCGTGAGTCTGGTCAAGTTAAGACGGGGAAACAGTGCCTGTCTTGGGGGTGTTCTGAGGATGAAATGAATCGATTTGCACAGGATGCTCAGGAAACAGTCACGATTCACCCGTCATCACTTGCTGGCTGGAGAGCCCTGGAGCTTCCAGGAGCACATGACAGGCACTGCGGACTGAGCTCTTGCTCCTCTGGCCTCTGGGTTTGGGCTGGGTACCTGCAAAGAGAGAAGAATCCACGGTTCCCTTTGCCTCTCTGAGCTTCCACTTGGCCAGATGCTGTGGGACAAACCGCCACTCCCTGCCTTCAGCGAGCCCCTGGCAGCACAGCAAGAAAGCTCGGGTGTGGCCTTGAGCTTCACACACCTGGGCTGCAAGCCCAGCTCTGCCGCTTACTCGCTGTGTGCCAGTGGGCTTGTCGCTTAACCTTGCTGAACCTCAGTTTCCTCATTGTCCCCACCCTCCCTCCTTGGGCACAGATTTTCCTTAGATCCACATGCTGAGGTTTATCCCGGGACCACCCCTGTGGTCAGCGGGGGCCCTGGAATCCTCTCCCTCCCCCTCGGCCCCTTCATCCTCCAGCCCTTCCCGCCCTCCCCCACCAGGCTCCCGCTTCCCTGGGGCATCCGGTGTCCACTGTGTGTTGCCCTTCTTTGATCCTGTGCTCCGAGGGGCTCCTGGTAGATCCTGGACGGGGAAAGGGAGGGGAGATCTGGCCTCGAGGTGCAGAATCTGAAAGACGATCAGACATTCTCACCACGGCATAAACTCTGGAGAGGGTGTCCGCTCTGCCTCGTTGTGCTAAAAAGAGTGTCTGCCTTCTTCCCAACTTCCAGACTCATAAAAGGGCTCCCTTGGGTAATCTGGTCTGGAAGGATGCTAGCCTCCAAGGGGAGTAGGGTGCGGGCAGGTGGCTATTATTATTATTATTGGATATGCAAGATATATCCAACAGTGAATAGATGGAAGAGGAGCAGAACCCAGAGCATAAGTTCCAGACCTTGAGTGTTTGTGAAGTAGGACAAGCTCAGCCTGGCCTGGCAGTCCCCCAGGGCTTCCAGGGGGAGGTGGCCCACTCAGCACCTGGGGCTGATTGAAGGAGGGTGGCTTCTGAGACCGAAGGACTCAGCTCTGTACAAAGGGCAGTTTCTGGATGAGCTGCAGGCTGAGGGAAAGGAAAACAGAAAGCAGAGTGGGCTCCTAGGGGTGGTGGGAAGGAGGGCATCTCTCTGCCTTCTTTTATTCTGAAACAGAAGAGCAAGGGGAAGAGCTTCGCCTGTGTCCCAATGTTGGCTCTCGGCAGGCCTGGCCTTCTCTGGCCCAAGGGACGGCCACCACGGGAAGAAAAGCAACACAGGAAGAAGGGCAGGTGGCAGTTGGCAGTTGCCAAGGGCGGTTGGCAGTTACCAAATACCAAGTGGCCTCCGACACTCAGAGAACTATTGCCCCTCAGCCACGTTAGGAAACCGGTGTGTGCTCAGCCCAGCCCCAAGAAGCCGAGAGCTCGCCCCAAAGAGAACTTCTGCTGGCCGAGAGCTGCTCTGGCCCTGCCCTGTGGCGAGAAGAGTCTGGGAACAGGGACAGGCTGGGATTAGCCAGAGGTCGGCGAGGAGCAGAGCCTGGGGTTGAGCCCTGGTTTTGAACCTGCCCTTTATAAAATTAATAAAGGGCCGTAAGGTGAGCACCGTGGTAGGGGCCTGAGCCCTGCAAAGGGACAGGCACAGTTAAAGCAGGTATGCAACCAGCCATGGTCCCTCGCTTGCTTTCCTGAGCCTGCTCACTACTCAGGAGTCACATAGCTGATGGGCACGAAGATGCGAGCTTCCTTCATTGCTCCATAGGTAACCCCGCCCTTGTGAGACCTAAGCCTGGTCTTTGAGATATCCTCCAGGCCCCGTGTTCTGGTGGACTAAGTGACCCAGCCAGACCAGTGGCCCATACCAGGCACCAACTCAAATGGTCTTGGGACCTGGGAGCTGACTCAGCACAAGAAGACGATTTCTGCTTCCCGACCTTAGGAGTCCACCCCCAGCCAGTCAGCAGACCCAATTCCCTAACCCTTTGTCTGCCAAACTATCTTTAAAAACCCTGGCCCAAAAATTCTCCGGGAGGCAGATTTGAGAAAGTCCTTCTGTCTCCTTGCGTGGCGCCTGTGAGATTAAACTCTCCACTGTAAGCCTGCTGTCTCAGCATATTGCTTCCTCTTGAGCAGCGGGCAATGAACCTGGCTGGGTGGAAACTGTTTTGCCTGTACTTGGTGATGTGAACTTGGACCAGTCTTGGTTCCTCTCTGGGCTATAGGATCTTCATCCGTAAGAACGGACACCATCTTTGAAGGGCTTAATCCACAGCAGAAACCAAGCCAAGCTCTTGGCTGGCATTCTCTGTTAATACTCACCCAACCTTGAATGTAGGTCTCATTGGCTCCATTGCACAGATGAGAAAATTGAGGCTCAGAGAAATTAAATAACTTACCCAAGACCACACAGCTGAGAAGTAGCAAAGGGATGTTGGGGGCTCTAATATGAGGGAAGGGGGCACTTTCTGTTCAGTTAAGTGACAGAGATGACTATGAAATGCCAGGACTCCTGGAGAAACGTGGGGGGAAGTGTATTTTGAAGGCAATGACAAAAAACCAGGGACACCTAATGTGACCATGATTCTACCCACAGGTTGGTGAGGCCCAGGGAAAAAAAAACCTCCAGGGACCTATCATTTCAAGCTTCTGTGCCCTTGACCATGCTATTTCTCCCACCTGGATTCCTTTCCATACGTGGAGAACTCCTATACATGCTTCAAGGTCCCGCTCAAATATCACCTCCCACGTGGAGCCTTCCGGGTACTCTGGGCTCCCTCCAGAGCCTGTCGCCATAATTGCCACCTTGTGTAATTGTCATCTGTTATAATTGCTCATTTCTCCATCTCTCAAAGGGTGGAGAGCATAGATTGTTAAACCAGGGCTCAACTCCCGCCTGTCTTGCTTACAAGCGGGGAGACCTAGAGAAAGTCACTAACCACTCTGAGACTGCTTCCTCTTCTCTAAGACAGGAGTGATAATGTCTGCTTTGTGTGGTCAATGTCAGATTAAATAACCCGATGCATTGCAGCCGGTGGTAGGTGCTCAACTGGGGTAGGCATTTCTATTATAAGTTTTGGTTTTTAAGTCTGTTAAATTTTCTTGTTAATGTTTTTAATTTTTTTTATTTTGAAGTAATACCGAACTTACAGAACAATTCCAGAAGTAGTACAAAAAATTCCTATGTAGATTTATACTCAGATTGTCCAAGTTATTAATATTTTACTACATTTATCTTATTACATATGTACATAGATATGAATATATAGGTGTATATATCTAAATATTTTTAAGAATCATTTGAGTGTAAGTGCAGGCACAATATTTTAATGTGTATTTCCTGAAAACAAGGACACTCCTGCATAATCACACACAGACATTAATACAGTATTACCTTACCAACTAATCCACAGCCGCCACTCGTGTTTCACCCATGGTACCAGTACTGTTCTGTATGGACCCAGGATCCAACCCCGGATCTCCGGTTATAGTCACTTGTCATGTCTCTTTAGCCTCCTTTAAGCTGGAACCGTTCCTCAGTGTCTCCGTGTCTTTCATGATGACATTTTTGAAGGGGACAAGCCAGGTCCTAGTAGAATGTCTATCAGTTGGGGTTGCTGATGTTTCCCTGGGATTGGATTCAGGTCATACACTTTCTTTCTGTTTTTTTTTGAGACAGAGTCTCGCTTTGTCACCAGGCTTAGAGTGCCGTGGTGTCAGCCTAGCTCACAGCAACCTCAAACTCCCGAGCTGAAGCAATCCTCCTGCCTCAGCCTCCCGAGTAGCTAGGACTACAGGCGTGAACCATCTGTTGATCTGGCCCCAGGGCCCCAGGGCCCCAGGACAACCTCCTAGGATGAGTCCCAGAGCTCTCAGCGTGCCTGGTAGACCCCACGAGGAGGTGGGTGCTGGAAGGTGTCCCATAGGGAGTAGATGGGTGGGGACCCACGCAGATCAGGGCCTGGCCCTGGGTCTGGGTTACCCACACAGACAACACTGCCATCCCTGGTCGATTGTAGGTGCCAGGTGGGACTTAGAAAGTTTTGGGGAAGGTCCTTTAAAATGTGGGGCACCCTGAGGCATGGGGTTAGAGGCGGGCTTAGCTTGCCTGGGGTCGTGGTAGATGCACTCCAGTTCCACCCGTTCTCAGCCAGACCCTGGGAGTCTTCCTCAAGTCCTTCTCTCTCTCTCTCTCTCCACCCCTTGATTACTCTGAAGTCCAGACCTCAATTCCTGCCACCTGGCTCCTAGTGGCTGCTCCGGCCCCAGGTGCCCAGTCTCCAGGCCGGCCAGCCCCAGCCACCAAACAGATGTCTCTGAAGCCCAAGGCAGCACCGTCCACCCTTGGCTTAGTGTCGCCAGGCCCATGGGGCCCTCCACGCCCCACCTGTCAGTTCTCCAACTGCAAATTCTAAGTAGAATTCCCCAGGAGTGGCTAACATACAGATACCCGAACCCAAGCCCTGATTCCTGAGCAGAAGGGAGGTAACAGGCTTTGGAATCCTCCAGTTGATGCTACACTGCAAGAAACATTAACCTAGAGGAATGACCTTGAACGTGTGAAGCTTTGTCATACCTCCAAATGTTCCCACCTCCCGGAGTGCTGCACCGTGTCCTCCAGGGAGCCTTCCCTGACTCCCATGGCGTCTCATGTTGGTTCCATGCTAAGTTTACAGCCCTTGGCCCGCCAGCCTGCGCCAGGGCACAGCTGTTACTCTTTGTTGGGGGCACAAATGCTGACCATGAGGCCCAATTCTACCCCACTCCCACCCGTTAACAAGGATCACTACCGCGGCCAGCCTCAGTTTCTTCATCTGTAAAGTGGGATAGTCATGCCAGCCTCACAGGGCTCTTCAGGAGTCGTGTGATGACGTGTACATGGCACTTGGCAGCCGTCTGGCACTGAGCAGGTTCCTTCCCCCTTCCCTCCTGGGAACCCCAGTTCCTCCCACTGAGGGCAGGCATGGGGGAGCCCCGCAGTGGCTCAGGTGACTGAATATATTCAGGCTGGGGTGCTCGAGGGGGGTCTCCCAGGCCGGGAAGATGCAGGGCTCAAGCCCTCCTCTGTGAGGAAGACGAGGCCCTCCTGCACGTGGGGAAGGCAGCCAGGCCCAGGGACACTTCCTGCTTGCTCAGCTGCTGCCTCATCTCCTGGTTCCCATAAACCTGTGCCTAGAAGGACTGTCACCATCAAATGGCCAGTGTCCTGCAGGAGGGTGTGACTGAGCTAAACAGATGCCTAATGGCAAACCCCAGGTAACCGGCTGCAGGGCAGGGCCCAGAGCAAGCCAGTCCCTCTGCCTGCCGTGGTGGGGGTGGGGGGCAGCACCAAGCCCAGGTAGGACATGGTTCAGGCAGCAGGAACTGCCCCCTGGAGCTGGCATCCGTGGTGACCTAGGACAGGTGTGGGGGAGGGGCAGGCCGGGTGGGGGAGGGTGCATTCCCAGGTGGCTGCAGTGTGGGATTGCAGGGGGGAGGGTGATGGGGCTGGGCCAGGGGGCTCAGGCTTTGCTCTTCTTCTTGGAGGCCAGCAACCCTCCCTGTGTTTGTAAAGCACTGATTGAGAAAAAGCCACTGCAAATTTAGCAACTCTCTTAAAGAAATTTGCATTTTCAGCCCATGGTTTACAGTCATTTGATATGAAGAGCCAGGGTACAAATGATGACATTGGATAGTGTTTGGCTAGAGGGGACCTGGAACAGAAGGCCCAAAACCTGCCCAGCCAGATCCCTGCCCCTGCCCCCGCTGCACCTGGGGAGCAGAGCCCGGGAGGAACAAAGTGCTGATTCACTGGTAGCTCCGCCTGTGGCCTTTCAGCCGCCTGTGGCCTTTCAGCCGCAGAGACTCCTGCCCACGACAAAGCCAGGCCCAGTGGACATACCAGAATCCGGCCAACCAGAGTGGCAATTCCAGATTCCTAGGGGCGGCGGGAGGAACGGGGCAGCAGGGAAGCAGGCAGAGAGGCCAGGATGTGAGGCCCTGTGCTGGCGTGGGTACTTGGGTTTGCT